GCTTAAAGTATATTAATACTCTTACTATATTAATAATGCGTATTAAGGCAAGGGCTAAGGACATCGATAGGAGAAGTTATAATAACTCCCTAGTCGATATCGCTATATATAGTAACAGCGATTAAAGCACTAATATAGCTAATCCGGCTGCTAGTGCTACTAGATATATATAGTGCGTACTACGTAAGATAGCGAGGGTGCTATTAAGCGAACTTATAGAAGGGGATAGACGAGCGTTTATAGATAAGCTATTACGTACTTAGCAAAGGGACGCCTTTGCTACTACCTATATAGATTAGCTTAGAAGTAGCCGCAAGGCTAGATCTAGCAAGAATTGGTCGATTAATGCTAATAGCTATTTGCGCTATAAGGGCAGGCTCTATATCCCTACCGAGTATTCGATCCGATAAGAGCTTCTTAAGCGACACTACAATAGTAAGCTTGCCGGTTACTATAGTATAGAGAGGTCGCACGAGCTACTATCGCGTATATACTACTAGCTAAATAGTAAGCGGGATATAAAGGAATATATCGATACGTATACCGTATACTAGCGTATTAAGGTACCGAAGCATTAGCCTTTTAGCGAGTTGTCCTTATTACTAATCTCTAATAAGCTATTCGTAGAGCTTATAATAGATTTTATTATAGGTCTTCCCCCTACTAAACGAAGAGGAAGTAGAGACGTCTTTAACGCTATACTAGTCGTTATAGACCGATTTACTAAGGGTGCTCGCTATATTCCTACTCGGAAGGATTAGACGGCTATTAATATAGCTAAAGCACTATAAAACAATATCTTCTGTACCTATTAGGGGACCCCTAAAGGAATAGTCTCTAACCGGGGCTTAATATTTATATCTTATTATTAGAGCGAAATATGCCTATAGCTAAGACTAAAGTATCGGCTATTAATAGCCTTCTATTTATAGACTAACGGTCAAATAGAGAGGCAGAATGCTACCCTATAGTAGTACCTACGTAGCTATATTAACGAGAATCCTAACGACTAGGTTAACCTCCTATAACTAGCTCAATTCGTATATAATAACAGTGTCTACTTATCGACTAAGGTGTTACTATATATAGCTATAATAGGCTCGAACGCTGCTATACTATAAGACCTATTATCGCTCGAGGCCGAGCGTAAGGAAAGGGAAGCGCGTTAAGTACTAGAGACACTAGCGGCAATAGAACGTATCTAGAAGATGCGAGAAATCTATACTAAGATAGCTAAGAAGCTAACAAAGGCTTAAGAGTATTAAAAGGCCTACTACGATAAGCGCTATATACCGATAACCTTTAAACAAGGCGATATAGTTATACTTAGTACAAAGAACCTCCGCATCCGTAAACACCTATTACCTAATAGCAAAATAAGGCCTAAGCTCGTACTAAGATATATTAGCCTATTCCGCATTTAAGAAGTTAAGGGCTCCTCCGTATATGTTAGAGGCTATACGTAATTGGCATGTAACTAGCTCGAGTAAAGCTAGGGTCTTAGTGCCTTAGGTAGGGCTTAGCGCTTAGCGTTAGGTTAACTAGCCTGCCTTCCTCCTTCTCCTCCTAGTTCTCTATCGAATACTACCTATACCTACTACTACCCTATCTACCTACTAATATAACCCTTCTTATATAGTATTCGATCTACCCTTTAAGGGTAGTAGCTAGATAGTTCTTATTTCAAGCTTTTAGCGGTATAGCTACGAACAAGACTAATCTAACTATATTGCGCCCGAAGAACGGGACCTATACGTACTATTCTATCGAAACAACCGTACTAATTATTAAGCAAGGCCTTCTATACGGCCTATTATACTAAGTTAAGCACACTAGGCCGATATCTACTAATTCCGCTATATCCGCATCTTAGGGGCTATAATACATTATTAGTACTACCCCTTATTATAATAGCCGGTTTATTACGAAACAACAACCGCGGCGCCGCTAGTAGCGCTAGCAATAATAACACTAGTAGCACAGTGCCTACCGAAGTACCTACTAAATTGCCTACTAAAGCACCTGCTAAAGTACCTGCTAAGGAACCTGCTACTAGGCCTACCGAAGAACCTGTAGTTCTAGGTAACGACCTAGAGTTGCCTATTAACGATATACTTAACAACATTGTTAATCGACGATATAGCTAACTAGCCTTTAGCCCCTAGCTAGTAGCGAGACTTTAAGAAGCCACCTAAAACAGGCTTACTGCCTTGCGTTAAGAACAATAGCTAAAGGATAATCTCCTCGAGATTCGCCGCCTATAGGAAGCCTTAACAACTACTACTAGACTAGAACTAGTAGCAGGACCTTCTATTTAAAAGAAGGATACTAAACTTAAGGACTGCACCGTGTTTAATAGCTCTAGTCGAAAGCAATACAACGACTATATTCGTAACTATAAGCTTAACTAGCGAAACGTACCGAGGGCCCTTCTAGACGACTATTCGTTAGTCGTCTATACTATGCAGTATATTAACGGTAACCCTAAGCGTATATAGGATAACTATTTTAATTCCCTTTATAACTAGACCGCTATTTAATAGCAGGATTATAAGACTATTATACTAAACACCCTTAGCAACCCTATATTACGCTAGTAGCACGCCTAAGACTAATACCTACGTGCTAAACAAAAGGCCGACTAAACCTCTCGATCCTTCGAGGCCTATCTAAAGACCCTTAAGGACGACTTGCTACCTAAGACCGACTCTATCTAGATATCTAAGATACGACCTAAACTAAGATAGGAACTAGTCCTTAAATTAGACCGCCGCCGTGTATTCGAATAGGCTAATCTTATACGTATTTAATTTATAGTCGAAGTAGAAATAGCCGAACGAGCTATCTAGCTCTAGTAACGACTAGAATCGAGAATCCGACTAACTAGTACTAACCGTAGCTACCGTAGCCGCGGAGGAAACTAAGGTTCCTACTAAGATAACAATACTAATAATAGGAACAGTAACGATCGTAGAAGAGGCCGTAGCCGGCGGCTATATAGAGGAGGCCGTAATAGGGGCCGTAGAAGGGGCTCGTATCCCTATAATACTAACCGCTCGACTAACAATAGTAGCAATAGCGGCTATAGTAACCCCCCGACCGGATTGAAGTGCTTTAACTATAACAGCACTAGCTATCTACTAGGCTAATGCGACAAACCTAAGGACTAGGCCCGAATCGACCGTACTACCGCTAAGTACTGTAAGCACCTTTTAGCCGCTAATGCTACCCCTATCGGTCCTTCGAAAAAAGAGTAAGCGCCGCACTAACTATTAGCCTTATACGGCGTAAGACTATCGACATTGTGCTAGCTATTATACGCACCTATCTTAAAGGGGACATATATAGCAACAATTATAAAACTAAGGTTACGCTAGACCTAGGAAATTTAGTTAGCGCCCTTATTAGCTATCGCCTAGCTAAGCAATTAGACCTTCGACAATTGCCTAGGACTAACCTGCTAACCCTTGCTTAGTTTAATAACGCTCGGCACTTAACCTATAGAGCCTACTATATTTATATAGCCCTAAGAGACGACCTCGGCAATAAGCGCCTACTAAACTTCCCCGCCTACGTAGTAGATATAGATAACCTATATAGGGGAGCTACTATTGTTATTAGCAACCCTGTTCTTAAGTACTACGCTATAGCTATAGACTTAGGCATTTAGAAGTAGCGATTTAGAATCGCTCGGAAAGAGGACATTAAATACATTAATATTAGCGAGTGCCCTAACGATATTAGGGTCCTGTTTATTAGCAACCTAACACCGGCCTCCGCCTTAGCTAATCCGACTGCCGACCTGCTTAGTAGTAATAACGATAAACCTGTACCTCCTAATAGTATAGACCCTAACTAGCTCGCTCGTATACTAGAGCCTATTCGAGAAACCTATATTAACGTATTTAAACACTACCTAGCATCGACATTGCCTATATTCAAGGAGACAGACTATAAGATTGACATTATAGAGGGCAAAGAGGTTCCTTTTAGACTACTCTATAACCTTAGTAAGCGCGAGCTTGCTATATTACGTAAGTATCTAGAGGAAAACCTAGCTAATAGGCGTATTCGGTATAGTAACAGCCCTGCCGGTGCACCTATCCTATTCGTACTAAAGAAGGATAGTAGCCTACGCCTATATATTAATTACTATAGACTTAATGCTATTACTATTAAGGACCGTTGTCTACTTCCGCTTATTAATAAGACCCTCGATCGCCTCTCTAGTACCTACTACTATACTATATTAGACATTAAGGATGTATACTATCGCATCCGTATCCGTAAGGGTAATAAATAGAAAACAGCCTTCCGTACCCGCTATAGCTATTTCGAGTATTTAGTTATACTATTCGGGCTAGCTAACGCCCCTATAACATTCTAGTCCTATATCAATCGGGCCCTATTAGGCCTATTAGACTACCTCTATATAGTTTACCTAGATAACATCCTAGTCTATACCTATTTACCTAACATTACAGAGTACTAGGCTATAGTACGCAAGGTCCTCGACCGCCTACGGGCCTATAGTCTATATTGCAAGCCTTCTAAATGCACCTTTGCTACTAAAGAGGTGTCCTTCCTTAGCTTCCTCGTATTAACCGAGGGTATTAAGGCTAATCCTAACCGGATTAAGACTATTACTAAGTAGCTAACGCGTACTAGTATTAAGGAGCTTTAGTTATTCCTCGGCTTCGCTAACTTTTACCGCCGCTTTATTAAGGGCTATTTACGGCATGTAATGCCCCTAACTAAGCTTACTAAAACTAAGGCTAACCTAACTAGAGAGTTCAAATAGACTAATAGAGCACAAGCCGCTTTTAACGGTTTAAAGTAACGCTTTACTAAAGTCCCCTTATTATACTACTTCGTACTAAGCAAACTAATCCGCATTAAGACTAACGCTTTACAGTTCGCTATATCGGCTATTATGTTACAACAATTAGATAATAACTATTACTAGCACCCGATTACCTTCTTCTCGAGGAAGATAATCGATGCTAAGCGTCGCTACGAGACCTACGAATAAGAGCTCTTAGCAATCGTAGAAGCCTTTAAGCACTAGCGCTACTATCTCGATAGTGCACAGTATACCATTTAGGTCTATATAGACTATAACAACCTCTATAGCATTACTAAGGTTACTAGGGTTATAGGTCGATAGGCTAGATAGGCCGTCTACCTCGCTAGGTTCGATTTTGATATATTATATCGGCTAGGCGTAAGCAACCCTACTAATAGCCTATCGAGGCGACCTAATTACAATAGCGGGACTTAGCAATCTATTAATTCATTGTTTCTAACCCTGCAGTATAAGATTGCTATAGCCCGTATTGTTAATAAGTAAGCGTAGGATAAGCGGCTTACCGGACTCCGCGACGGCTTAAAGTATATTAATACTCTTGCTATATTAATAGTGCGTATTAAGGTAAGGGCTAAGGACACAGATAGGAGAAGTTATAATAACTCCCTAGTCGATATCGCAATATATAATAATAGCGATAGTACTACTGCAGTTAATCCGGCTACTAGTACTATTAGATATATATAATACGTACCTCGTTTAACAGCGAGGGTGCTATTAAATAACCTTACAAATAGGGATAGTTAACCGTTTATAGACGAGCTATTACGTACTTAGCAGAGGGACGCCTTTACTACTAAACGTATCGATAGGCTTGTAAGTAAACGAAAGACTCGATCTAGTAAGAGTAACAATTAGTCGATCGATAACAAAGGTTATTTGAAGTTTAAGGGCAGATACTATATCCCCGCTAAACATTCGATCCGACAAGAACTTCTTAAGCGACACTATAATAGTAAGCTTGCTAGTTACTATAGTATAGAGAGGTCGTACGAGCTACTATCGCGTACATACTACTAGCTAAATAGTAAGCGGGATATAAAGGAATACGTTAACACGTATACCGTATACTAACGTATTAAGGCACTAAAGCATTAGCCTTTTAGCGAGTTGTCCTCTTTACTAATCCCTTATAAGCTATTTGCAGAGCTTATAATAGACTTTATTATAGGCCTTCCGCCTACTAAGCGTAGGGGCAGCAAGGATATCTTTAATGCTATCCTTGTTATAGTAGATCGATTTACTAAGGGGGCTCGTTATATCCCTACTCGGAAGGATTGGACTGCTATTAATATAGTAGAGGCGCTATAGACTAACATCTTCTATACCTATTAGGGAACCCCTAAGGGGATAGTCTCCGATAGGGGCTCGACATTTATATCGCACTATTAGAGCGAAATATGCCTATAGCTAAGACTAAAGTATCGGCTATTAATAGCCTTCTATCTATAGACTAACGGTCAAATAGAGAGATAGAATGCTACCCTATAGTAGTACCTACGCAGCTATATTAATAAGAACCCTAATAACTAGGTCAATGTCCTACAACTAGCCGAATTCGTATACAATAATAGTATCTACTTATCTACTAAGGTATTACCTTATTTCGCTATAATAGGAAGCAACCCTACGCTACTATAAGACCCCCTATCGCTCGAGGCCGAGCGTAAGGAAAGGGAAGCGGGTTAACCTAAGACACTAGCGGCTATTAAGAGGGTTTAAAAGATGCGAGAAATTCACGCTAAGATAGCTAACAAACTAGCAAAGGCCTAGGCCTATTAGAAGGCCTACTATAACAAACACTACCTTCTAATAACCTTCAAGTAAGGCGACCTAGTTATACTTAGTACGAAGAACCTCCGTATCCGTAAACACCCCTCGCCTAATAGTAAAACAAGGCCTAAACTCGCTCTAAGATACATTAGTCTATTCCGTATCCGAGAACCTAGGGGCACCTAGGCCTATTAGTTATAGCTTCTACCTTATTATACTATCTATAACACCTTCTATGTATCCCTCCTTAAGCCGTACTACCTACGCGAAGGGGATGAAGCACCTGCTAAATCCGAGGATATACTAGCTAATAGCGAAGAGCTATAGTCTATAGAACGTATCCTATAGCACCGGACTAGGAAAGGCAAGAAGGAGTACCTATTAAGATAGCAAGGCTATTTACCTAAATAGGACTCGTAGGAAGCTAAAGGTTCCTTTAAAGATATAACTAAGTTGTTAGACGAATATTAGACTAGCGTAAAGAATAAGAAGAAGGCTAAGAGCTTATAATGCCGCTAATGTTACTAAAAGAGACCTAGGAACAATACTACCCCTAGGGTGCTATTAGCTAACTAATTAGAGGCCGGCTAACTATAATAATAAGACTATACTAGGCGTACTACGACGCGTCAATTAATTAGTTACTACTCTTTTAAAGACTCTACCTCTTGTTCCTTTATTCTATCGAGGCCTCGAGGCCTAGGCAATCGACGAGGATACGCGCGCGCGTGCGAATAACGGTATTGCGGAGTATATTACTGTTTAAGAAAGGAAGGACATAGCTATATTAGTAACGGTATTGCCGAGTTGTTATTAGTTAAAGAAGGAAATTAGAAGAAGGTAAAGTTAGCGCTAAGACGACTAGCGCCGCTATTATTAACATTACTTGCTATTGTCGCTACGCCTATAGATACAACCTTACCTATACTACGAGCCTAAGGCACCTTTAATTAAAACTTTAATCAAAACTTTAAGGCTAAGTTAAAATATTAAGGCTTAAAAGGATTGAGTAGCTTAATAGACTAACTAACTAAGGGTAAAACTATAGAGCTAAGCTAGCCGGGGTCGATCTTGCGGACAATAGGTTACTCCTCGATCTATCTAACCCTTTAAGCGAGGCGAACCTCTACTACTGCACTTATAATAGCCTTTACCTATAGAAACTAGAAGAACTAAGTTTTTTAAAAAGATATAATTAGTTAACACTTAAAGGCTACTAAACCTAACCAATTAGGGCTAGTAAAACTACGATAGTAAATAATAGCCCTCGTAATAATAAGAACAACCCTCGGAACGGACAAACCCTCGGAAGCGGACATTGCTAGGTCTTTTAAGAGTATACGCAAAGAACTCGGTACGATATTACTTAGAACGGAGGCAGTACTGCAATACCTCGTACGTCTACCTATTATAGTAGGGAAGACGCGCTCGTATTATAATTAGTCGAAGGCCCTCAATTCTTAAAGATATATATTACTTTATAGTTCATTATATATAGAGATAGTATAGTCGGAGTTAGACATTGTATTAGAAGGTAAGGTTTGATATAGTTATATAATTAGGTAGTTAAGTGTTTAATTTAGCGCGGCTAAGCGGCTTGTTAGACTTACTAAGTTAGTAGTAATAGAGGTCGAGGTTAGAATATAGACAGGCTACGAGGGCGCGGCCTTTAGAAGGGAAGCGTATATTAGAGGCTACACGTAATTAGTATGTAACTAGCTCGAGTAAAGCTAGGGTCTTAGTGCCTTAGGCAGGGCTTAGCGCTTAGCGTTAGGCTAACTAGCCTACCTTCCTCCTTCTCCTCCTAGTTCTCTATCGAATACTACCTATACCTACTACTACCCTATCTACCTGCTAATATAACCCTTCTTATAGTATAGGCCTATTAGTTATAGCTTCTACCTTATTATACTATCTATAATACCTTCTACGTATCCCTCCTAAAGCTATATTACCTACGTAAGGGGGATAAAGCCTCTACTAAATACGAAGACATACTAGCGGATAGTAAAGAACTATAGTCTATAGAACGTATCCTATAGTACCGGACTAGGAAAGGTAAGAAGGAGTACCTATTAAGATAGCAAGGCTATTTACTAAAATAGGACTTATAGGAAGCTAAAGACTCCTTTAAGGACATAACCGAGTTGTTAGATAAGTATTAGACTAGCGTAAAGAACAAGAAGAAGGCTAAAAGCTTATAATATTACTATTAAGGCCTAGGAACAATACTACCCCCGGGGTGCTACTAGCTAACTAATTAGAGGCAAGTAATTGTTAGCAACAAAGGATAATAAGACTATACTACTATAGCGAATGCGCACTAAGCGTTAACAAGCGCGCTATAACTGTTAACTAATCGCCTACTCCTTTAAGGAATCTACCTCTTTACTAGCATAACCTATAAAACCCTTCTCTTAGCGCCCCCTCTTACTCTATGTCCTACTAGGGCTCTAAGGCCTAGTCGGTCGACGATAGCGGCGCGCGCGCGTGTAAATAGTAGCGATAATAATAATAACGGCGTTGCGCCTATACTAAAGGGCAGTACGGCTAGCGCGGCTATATTAGTAACGGTATTATAGAGTATATTATTAGTCGAAAAAGGAAGTCGGAAACAAGGTAAAGTTAGCGCTAAGACGACTAGCGCCGCTATTATTAACATTACTTGCTATTATTACTATGCCTATAGAACACAACCTTACTTATACTACGAGCCTAAGGCACTAAGGGGTTAATTAAAACTTTAATTAAAACTTTAAGCTACCTAAAAGATTAAGCGACTAATAGACTAACTAAGGGCAAAAACTACAGAGCTAAGCTAGCTAGGGTCGATCTTATAGATAATAGGTTACTCCTCGATCTTTCTAACCCTTTAAGCAAGGCGAACCTTAACTATTGCACTTATAATAGCCTTTACCTATAGAAACTAGACGAACTATGTTTTTTAAAAAGATAAGATAAGATTGACAATTAAAGGCTACTAAACCTAACTAATTAGGGCTAGTAAAACTACGATAGTAAATAATAGTCCTCGTAATAATAAGAACAATCCCTCGGAACGGACAACCCTCGGAAGCGGACATTTCTAGGTCTTTTAGAGTAGACGTAAAGAACTCGGAACGATATTACTTAGAGCGGAGGCAGGGCTACAATACCTCGTACGTCTACCTATTATAGTAGGGAAGACGCGCTCGTATTATAATTAGTCGATAGTCCTTAATTCTTATAGATATATATCACTTTATAGTTTATTATATATTAGGATAGCGTAGTTAGAGTTGTATATTATATTGTGTTAGAGATAAGGTTTAATATAGTTATATAATTAGGTAGTTAAGTATTTAATTTAGCGCGGCTAAGCGGCTTATTAGACTTGCTAAGTTAGTAGCAATAGAGGTCGAGATTAGAATATAGACAGGCTACGAGGGCGCGGCCTTTAGAAGGGAAGCGTATATTAGGGCTAAAGAGGCTACACGTAATTAGTATATAATTAGGCCGAGTAAAGCTAGGGTCTTAGTGCCTTAGGCAGGGCTTAGCGCTTAGCGTTAGGCTAACTAGCCTGCCTTCCTCCTTCTCCTCCTAGTTCTCTATCGAATACTACTTATACCTACTACTACCCTATCTACCTACTAATATAACCCTTCTTATAAACGAGCTATTCTATATAGCTTCGACGACTCGTTTAAGGTACTAGCAAAGCAATAGTACGCGTTGTTGCTATATATTAATAATATACAGACAAAGAACAAGGACTATATCGAGAAGAGTAGGCTAGAAACGACGCGTTATATTTGCCGCTTTCGTAAGTAACTATACTAGAAGTCGGATAAGACTAAAGGGTATAGTACGCGGCGCTTTAATAAGAAGATTACACGCGCGCAAGGCTGCTCTATAACGATAAAGGTATATACTGTATATAATAAGGATAATAAGTCTAGTAAGCCGGAGATTGTCGCATATCGAGTTCAGCACACAAGCCGCGAGGATTACTCGGACTACTACTAGTTAGATAACTTCGACCTCTTCCGCCGGTATAGCGCGTTATTAACTACTATAGGGTACGAGATATACTATAGATACAAGCCGAGTACGGTATAGAAGACATTAAAGGCTTAGTACGACCTAGTAGCAAATGCGCTATTTAAGGCCGCTAGCGGCAATTTTATAATAAAGTACGACGTACTTAATTCTAGTCGCGCCTTCTAGAAGGTATATAAGGATAGAAGGCTCGGCGGCGCGTCGCTAGTATAGCAAATACAAAAAGAAGATATATTCGAGCAGTATTAATAAGGTTAGTTAATCTCATTATTATTATTAAGCTAGGGCGTAAGGTTAGAAAAACAGCTATACGGACCGTCGCGCCCGCGTATCCGGACTCCGATTAACTAATAGATCGACGCGGAAGTCTATCTAAGTTATTAGCTTAAGAGATAAAGATATTAGACTCGATTGCCTACGAATACTAGATACGAAAGATAGAATCTCGAGATTCTAAAGTTCTTCGCCTAAAGCGGAAGCGCCGTAGAGCCTTAGCTTCGAGCTAATAAGATAATTTAGAAGCTATAGCAATACCTCGGTCCGGCTTCTAGCGCGCCTTAGTAGACCGAATCCTAAACTTTAGGATTCTTTTGTTTATATTTGCGGTTTTCTATTATAATAATTACTAATATATTATTATAGAAGGGCTATTTTACGAGAACATAGAAGCTATACGCTAAATCGATAAAAAGACTACCTATAGCGTCGTATATGCTAGCAAAACTAGTATAGAACTACTTAAAGCCTATTATACGATCGCGTTTATAGACGCGACGTACAAGACTAATTACCTAGGTTAGTTTCTTTATACTATTATAGTAAAGGATAAATATACTATTTCTCGTACGGCGGTATATATACTCTTACCTACTAACGACGGCGATATTGTTACGGAGTTTTTACGTACTATAAGTAGGTAGATAGGCGGTATTTAGGTATCTAAATTCCTCCTTATAGACAACTTAGTAGCCGAGCGACGCGTAGTTCGAATAGTATTTACGACGATAATATACCTGCTATACTACGTCTATGTTTAGCGTACTATCGATAGACGCTTTAGCGCGAAAATCTACTAAGAGACACGTAAACACCTACGCGCCGCCGTCGTATACCGCTACTCGCTCGAAGGCGCGAAAGAGTCGCTCTAGGCCGCTATCGATAACCTCCCCTAAAACAGCGATTACGAGTTAAACTATATATATTTAGTTTAAGACTTCGGTAGCGATATTCGCCTATAGGCAAACTACTATCGCGTCTATAACGTACCTACTATCGTTAGACAATATAAGGATACTAGTATAAACGAGAGCTTTTGCGTATATCTTAAAATAGACGGTAATAAGTCGCTAATAGCGGCTAACTTTATACTAATAGGCGTAGCTATATAAACAATATAGGAGGGCGAGCTTAGAGACCTTTAGTTAGATATTACTAGTAAGCGTTAGGTATTAAACGTATATCTACTCGCGCGTAGCGACGACGACGAGCTCCGGACCTAGCTTCTATACCTTCTATAGCTTATTTAGCGCAAGATTAGTACTAAGATTAATCGCGTTCTTAATAAGTCTATATACTAAGACCCGAAGCCGTTATTAACTAAGGTAGGCGCGCTTACTTACGACTATAAATTCTTCTACTAATATCGCGTTCTTTACGCCGATCTTTAGTATTATTACCTTATACTTAAACGCGTTATTATTAAAGATTATTACTAGTAATAATAGGTTAATATATTTACTAGACGCGCTCTCGAGGTCTACGAAGAAGACGCTTCTAAGTCGATAGTAGTATAAGAAGACGCCGCCGCCGCCGAGGTTGTATATACGCCTATCTATCGATTAAACGTCTATAAGGTACTTACTAACGCGTACGAGTTAATCTTTTAACTCGAGCGCTTATACGACTAATAAGGTATAAACAAGAGCGACAAGCAACGCGAGGTTATTATCTCGAAGATACTAATAGTTTTCTATAAGAGCGGCGATAATATTAGGAAGGGCTTTACTAACCTCGTCCTTACTTACTTTAAGAGCACTTATCTAGAAGCTATTCTTATACTAATAAAAGCGCCGCCGCCGAAGCTATTATAAGCGCTATTGCTAAGCGATATTATATCGAGCTATTACCTTTTAAAAGCGACTAATATAGCGCCGCCGCTAAAGAAGTAGAAAGGTAAGAGCGTAGATACTACGAGTAAGAAGCCGAAGCGATCGAAGAAATAGATAGAGAAATAGGCAGGGTAAGAATATATACCCGAGCGAATACTAGCGGCGCTAGCTTAGCTAAATTTTAGTAAAGAAGCGCTATTAGTAGTTCTAGGCGGTATCGACGCGTTCTCGTCGCGTTTTCCTTTAAATTCCGCTATTACGTAGGTCGCATAGGTAACTAATAGCTTCTATATACCTCTACCGACACTACCGGTACTAAATAGGTAGTAATACGCGCCTCCGAGCGCGATATAGGTCTATAGTAGTATACCTTATATACCGCTACTCTCTAATATATATTAACGCTATTAAAATAGCCGTAATCGCTAACTATACCTCGAATTTTGCTATACCGCTATTTTGCTAACAAACTTTAGCTTTATTTTTAGTAATATAACTAGTATCTACTAGTAGAGAATGCGGGGTCGTTAAACACTATAAAAACAGTGCGAAATCTATTAAATTGCGACCGTACGACCTCTTACTATCGATATTTAGTATGCTAGCGGAAATCGCACTACTACTACTGCTACTACCTGTCGACCTAGCAACCGCGACGCGCAGAGACATCGACATCACGTTTTCTATAGTTACGCACACCACGGAGCGGACTTCGATATCTCACCGAGTCCGCTGCGGCAGGCTGACCCTATTCTTGGAAGGACAGGCGCTCGGACGCTGGTATGGGACTTTATACGGGCCCGCCTGGTGATCGCACATGGCAAGGATATGGACAGGCCAGAGAGCTGGAAGAAGCAAGGTAATCGCTGTAGGATTTGCCTCTTTGAGACCTCGACAGTGAACCTTCTCCGATCTGGGCCGTTTGTTCCCGGCCGCCAAGATGTCGGACCGTCGGTACCTCCCTCGTGGGCCAGGGCAGGGCGAAGATTTATTGAAGTTACAGAATATCCATATTAAGCTCAAATACAAGCTTCACCAACTCCTGAAGAATGAGCTTTTAGGAATTGAAGCATCGCCATTACATGGCATTACATTATTGGCATCCCTTTGCCCACTTTCAAGGTGGAACTGTAACAAAAGTCAGACTCATTTAAGCAGCGGGCACAGTCCAAGTGGCCTCACGCACAGTCCAAAATCTTGGCCTAAGACGCGTCGAGCATAGACAACAGCAGTGGCTTACCAGCGTGGGAGAGAGGGCGCAGTACATAGTAGCATTAAGCATTAAGCATTAAGCTCGAAGTCAATAATGTCCTGAAAAACACTTCCTCACTCCGTTTGCGAAGGGATCCCAAGAAATCGTAAGACAGATGCATCCAAACATGGAAGTACCAATCATATGCCGCCAAGTACGGAGGACAGCTCGCATGACTGACAGGATGGCGCCTGTTACATATGCCAAGGGTGATACACTGATATCCTTACAAGGGATATGTTCCGCGCAGAAGGTCCATGGGCAATGGGCATTGGTGTCGATCGACTGATGATATCTCTACGGAGGTGGTTTGACCGTTTCGCATTCTCACCTGACTCTTTAGTAGCTGTCGTGCGCTTGCTTGAGAAGAAAGATGAGCGTCCAGCAGCAAAAGACGCTCGTTTCCCGCTCATGAAAGCCTACTGTACAATTTGTCACTTCAAAGCAGCCTGGATGCCATTGGTGACACTGAACTCCTACCGAGGAGCCTTGCAGGGCGGCAGGCGGTAGCCCTACAGCGTCTGATCACATCGGAGTGAAAGTGGGTATTCCCCAAACCCTTGCTCCTCATGGATTATAGCGAACAGAAACTTGTTATTCAGCGGTCCGACCCTAGTCACTTTCACTCCAAAGTGTAGAGACGCGGTACGAAGGCTACGATCGGATCCAAAGCGCCAGGATCACGCCGGTAAACGCCTCAAATGGACAAAGAGACCGGCTGTCTCACAGTCTCACTTGCCGTCCTCTGGCGCGCCGGCTTTGACCGTCTCGTCCGGATATCGACTGCCATTGGCATCATCGAAGAGCATTTGATCACCCTTGCCGCCCAATTCCATAAACTCTTTGGGATCGCGAGCAACATCTGGACCGGGCTCGACAGTCTGCTCGACATGTCCTTTCTTCTTCGTTGCAGCCTTCGCTCTGGCTGCCTCTTGTTGTTGGCCTGCAGGACGCTGCGTGAAGAAACGTGGCTGGGAATTCTTATCCCATACCTTGACAGGAGGGGCACCCCCTTGGGCCTCGATAATCTTGTCGACCTTAACATCGTTGATGCTCGAGAGAAGTGTACGCTCACGCTGTGGCTTACGATTTGAGAAGTCCAGACTAGAAATCGCTCCAGTCAGGCCATCGGTACTATCAGTGATGCTGATGGGGCGCTGCGTGGTCCACGGGTGCTCCAAGCATTCGTCGATCGTGATGCGCTTTTCGACATTAACTGTGAGCATGCGGTCAATGAGGTCAAGCGCTGGATCCCCAACAGAGTCCCAGTAAGGTGATGGGTAGTCGAAGCGACCCATCTTGATCTGTTGGCTAAGGGTGTAGGGGTTCTCGGCGGAGTACAGCTCGTCTGAAAATGGCGGGAAACCACATAAGCAGATGTAAAGCACGACGCCCAAGCTCCAGACATCCACTGCGCGTGTGTAACGTCGCCGATTGGTGTGCTCAAGTATCTCTGGTGCGACATACGATGGCGTGCCGCAGAGCGTTGTTGTGAAGGATTCTTCGCCAATGATCTTGGCAAGACCGAAATCCGCGATCTTGACATTGAGTTCCTTGTCGATCAGCAAGATGTTCTCAGGCTTGATGTCGCGATGGACGATGCTGCGTTCGTGCTACAAGTTGTTAGTACTCATGATCTAAACCATCTCTGCAGCACACTTACGAGGTACTTGATGCCTTGGAATAGCTGAATGAAGATCTTGCGCGTATCGGCTTCGCTTAGCTTCTGCTTCATCACGATCCAGTTGAAGAGTTCTCCTTCAGCAGCCAATTCCAAGACAAGATAGACGCCGTCCGCCTCGTCGAACGTATCTTTCAGGCACAGCACGTTGGGATGCGACACTCCCATCAGCACCGCGATTTCTTGCTGAAGACCTTCGACTTTGCTGCGCTCACCTGGACCACTACGCTTCTCGAACTTCTTCACAGCATAGCGCATCCCTGTGCTCTTCTCCACCGCCAAGTACACGGTTGCAAAGTGGCCCTTTCCTAGTTGGCCTTGTATGTTATACTGCTGTCGGAAACCACTGCCGTCTCTGATGCGAGGATATCGAAAGATGAATCGCGCTTCGCCAACAATGGAGATTTCGTCACCATCTTCGAGCTCTCTCCTCTTGTTGCGCCCGACCAGTGCATCATTCACGTAGGTGCCATTTCCGCTGAGATCCTCAAGCACGGCCGTGGTGTCGCCATGCTTGTTCTCGGTGAAGATCAAGGCGTGACGATTGCTGACTGTCGGCTTGTCGACCTTCTGATCGCACTCTGGATGTCGTCCTATCAAATACCCGCCAGCTGGAATACCATTGGCGTCTTTCTCCTGCTCGTAGTGCTCTTCTTGCTTCTCCCAATGCTTCTTAGGCACTTTCTGACGTCCATTGGGCTTGCCAGTCGAATGAAGCGGCACTGGGCATGCAGCTCGCTTTCGCAGTGGCAGAGCAGCGCCGAAGCCTTCAGCTGGCACCAAATAGCCCCAGACGCCATCTCGCTCTTCGTCGTCAACCTCGTATGATATAGGCGCAGGCGGAAGGAATTGCGAATATGCTTGCGTTGCTTGCGTGTCGTTGGGAGGGGATGATAAGCCTGCAGCGCCGCGTCGTGACGAAGGCGGAGGACTGTGCAGTGGTGGTGTTCGGCGGCCCCAATTGTTGGGGGTTTTGGACGATGTAGGCGAGACGGTCTTGTCTTCTGTCTCTGCATCTTCCGTTGAGCCTGTGCCTTTGCGGGTCACTGGAGATGGCAGCGGGCCTTGCTTTACAGCTTCCACATCACCTTCATTGGACAACCGCGCAGACCTTCTGGGCTTCTTCTGCTCTGCTGTCTGGCCACTGGATTGCTGCTGGCCAGCATTAACTCGCGTATCACATGGCTTCGATATACGTCAATGCTTACCCGCGCGCGCTTCAAGGAGCTCTTCTCGGCCTGGGGGGCCATGGCGAGTTTATGGTCCGCGATGCCTCAATGGCGCAGATGGGAATGCAATAAACAATCAAATGTCAATCTTGGTCTTTTCTTCGCGGCGAAGAGGTCGCGCTGCGGCTGCGGTTTGCGTCCAGAGTGTTCCTTTCGGGCTTGGGTCGACCGGTGTGATTGATGATTAAGCGATCGAAAGCTGTTTCTGTTTCCTGCCGTCTTCCGAAAAGCTAAAATAAAAAAATCATCTCATCTCCTTGCGTTCCCCAATGACTACATCTCGGTGACAGCAACCCAATACTCCTCCTGAGACACTACGCCCGAACTTTCAAATGCCTTTCTCTCACCACAGCCATTCGGGCCAATTCTGCGGTCATGCAGTCGACACACTGGAACAATGCGTACAGAGAGCCATCGCTCTGAGAATGTCCACTTTCTGCATGACAGAACACATTGCTCGAGAGGAGATTGATTTCTATCCAGGGGAGGACAAAGTGCACACCATGCCAAGTCTAGAGCGACTTTACGATGACTTCTACCACGAAGCAAGACGTCTGCAAAAGAAGTATGCCGACCAGATCCAACTCCTGATTGGTTTTGAAGGCGAGTGGATACGAGACAGTTCCCTCGACCTCATACAGAATCTTCTCAAGACATATGAGGTTGATCTGTTCGTTGGTAGTGTTCACCACGTTCATACTATTCCTATTGATTATGACACGCCTTACTATCACAAAGCTCGCGAGGTGGCTGGCGGTAGCGACGAGCGGATCTTCGAGGATTATTTCGATTCGCAATATGAAATGCTGAAGGCGTTGAAGCCGCCGCTCATAGGTCATTTTGACTTGATACGCTTGAAGAGTGATGAACCTGACCTCAGCTTCAAAACTTGGCCCGCCGTTTGGCAGAAGATCATGAGAAATCTGAGATTCATCGCTGAGTATGGTGGCGTTCTGGAGCTGAACTCCAGTGCATTGAGGAAAGGTATGACCGAGGCATACCCACAAGCTGAGATCTGCAGAGTAAGTCCTCGCTTGCCCTATGTCGAAGGTGAAGCTCATAGTATTGCAGGAATTCAAAGATCTGGGTGGCCGCTTCACATTCTCCTGTGATAGCCACGGTGTTGAGCAGGTCGGTCTCAACTTTGCGAAGATGTTGGACAACAATGTTCTGCGAGCGGGCATCGGTGAGCTGTATTACCTTGCGCCTGCGACGGACAAAGCAAGCCTCCACGATCATCGTTTCCCCAAGGTCTGCTGGACCAAGATTTCGACGCTGGATGTTCAGCTACATCCATTCTTCAAACAAGATACGAACGGAGCTTGACCGCGGGGCTCCATTGCGGCTTCACGGCGTGAAGTTTGAGAGATCGGGCAAGTGTTGATGTTCTAAAGCACGCACGCCGCTGGCAGAGGCTGTCGTGCTGGTTATTACCAAATCAGCACAACCATGATTGCCAATCGAGGCAAAGCAACCCTGCAAATCTTCTGACACGGCCAACAAGTCGAGTCTCCCGTACCACCTCTCGGGTTAGTTGCCAGAGGAGCCATGTTGAGAGACGAAAGCTGATCTGAGATCGTCTACTTCCAGCTGCGGGTCAATGACTCAGCCTACATGGTTGTTGGCAACTTCACCTCTTCGGTCCGCACCGATGCCTGGGAACGAATGCCATCAACCTTACACCGACTATAGCGGCACCGCCCCAACTGTTGTGTGCCGTGTCAAGGGAGGTCAAATTGCGAGCGGTAATTGCCGGTGTCGGTGTCTATCATCTCAGGCTTGCCGGAAGGTTGTGCTCAGAGTAAGTAGTAGCGATAGGTAGCTGCTGTGGACTGGAGAAGAGCATGTGTGTCGATCGTTTATTCCTCAACTTTGCGCATAGCGCGGCTAGGGTAAAACCATCAAGTCCTATAGCGAGTATGCAGCAAGGGACCTGCGTGTGCGACACATCTGTCGAACTGGTTCAGAGATTTTGGCTCCAGTGCTCCGCTTTCCGCCCGCTGCACGCCAAGGCTGAGAACCTGGAAAGGCGATCTGCAATTGACTCGAATGTGCCTGGGTCCATGGATGGGCATGATGTTGCGGCTCTGGCGGCTGTCATTGATTTCTTCAAGAGTTGATAGGCCGTGATGCGTGGTGCATGCAACTTTCTCAAATGCATCCAAGTAGACTTCTGATGGTCGTCAATGCAGGTCCTGACATTGCGCATGCCAGATCGAAGCAAAAATTCCCGTAGCATCTGTCTGAAGTGATTCCTCGTTCACAACCATTCTGATTATCAGTGATCGGCACGTCGGCAGGGACATTGTCAAGCCGTTGAAATGCATCGACGCCGATCCAACCACTCTTCCGTGACTCGTAACGAGGCAGGAAGCGAGAATCGCGAGACATGTGCTCTTGATGTTCGACGTGCATCGAAAATTACTCTTCCAGACCAAAAGATTGTCGTTACGTGACACTGGCCGCCAGCTCCGCGTCTTGAGGGCAGGTGTTGGGCTCTGAAGAATGCCGAGAAACGCCATCTCTTCTGCATCTTCAGCCCAGTGACATGGTGTCGAATCCTGTGACCGTGCCGAAACTTCCATATGGCGGTCCGCACATCGCACGCTGTGCTTCCCGAGGCCGCCACGGACGCGACGTGCAGAAGGTGAAGTCCCGGATTTGCAGGGAATGGCCAGCACGCCGGCGCGGAGTGACGGAGTCGTGTATGGAGCTCTCGAAAAGCATCGAGATGTTCAGGATGTTCGTGTCAGCGTTTCCCAGAGCACTTTTAGCGCGGTTGTAAAAGTACGGATCGTTCCTGCCTGGACTTCGGCGAAACTCATAGGCAGACGTCACGTCAACGCCTTTAAAGAAGACCCTGCTTCTTTCTGACATCTGGCCTTCTGCATCATCTCCTTCTCGAACACCAAGGACACTGCAATTGACCAGAGACTCACTGAAACAACTACCACCACATACCGACAGCATCATGGGTGTCACCAAGCAACTCATCTCGCCGGGCGACGGCGCCACGAAGGCAAAGGCAGGAGACAACATCACTATGGAGTACACTGGTGTTCTGCAGAACGCAGACGGATCCCGCGGCAAACAGTAAGTCATCAATCATTTCCAGTGCCGGCGGGTGCAGGCCTCGTCGCATCTTTATGCTGCGCTGCAGGCGCTTCCTCTCTGATGTGGCTGGGGCTCTCCATTACATTGCATCACGGGAACGGGACTTTGGAGACGATACACTATTTGCAATAGCATACCATTGAGAAGGTACTAATCGATAACAGGTTTGATTCTTCCGTCGGCCGCGGTGACTTCAACACTTCCATTGGCACTGGCCGTGTCATCCGAGGTGAGCATGAATGAATTGCCTGCCATTGAGAGTCTTATTGACATGCAACGCAGGCTGGGACGAAGGCATTCTTACCGTTGACGGCGGCATGACCCTTGGCGAGAAAGCCACCCTCACCATCACTGGTAGGTACGCTCAAGGAGCGATTAGGGCTGCGGAGTCGTGCACAGCAGACCCATTCACGAAACTGGCATCTCTCGAGACCTGGCTAACACTTTTTGCCTTTCAGGTGACTACGCCTACGGTGACCGCGGTTTCCCCGGACTCATCCCACCAAACGCTACCTTGATCTTCGATGTGCAGCTCAAGGCCATCAACGGAAAGCGCGCACCGGGCCTCTAGTCGGTAAGTCTTATCGAAACTCGCAACATGCAACCGTCCGTGGCTTCGGCAGCCTGTGCTAATCTAGCGTCCTCTCTCAGTACCGATTCGTCGCCAAAATACGCCCAACGGCAAGGTTTGTCCTTACAAGCGACGTCTCTGACCTCGTTCGTCGAGAGAAGCATTGGTCAGGTTGCCAGGGTTGAACATTAAGAAAAGCATGATGAGACTATACGTGAAATGAATCGACCGACAGTCCCTTCAACCACCCGACAGGCAACCACACTCGCGTGTGCTCCGTCGATCGTTTGAAGCCATAGAGAATGCAAAGAGCTGAATCTACACTCTCAGTCCAAGTTTCAACTTCAAAAGTCCCAAGGTTCAACTTCAAAATCCAAGTTTCATCTTCAAAGTCCAAGATCTCATCGCGCTGCAGCATGCCCTCCCCATCCACTTCAGTCCCACCCCATCCACTTCTCCCAATGCCTCCGCTTCCAATACTCAACCTCATTCACCACCCGCTCATCACCTCTCTCCCTCTCCTCCTTCCCACGCACACCCCTCCAATACCTCGCCATCTCCAACGTCTCCTCCCAAATCACAACCCCTCTCCAAAATAATTCCTCCCTCACATTCTCACCTCCACCCCTCGCAAGTCCCAACCCCCCAAATCCCGGAGGCAAAACAGCATATCTCCTTTCACAACCGTTTTCACCAATGAGGTTCGCACTGCGTTTGGGTGGTGTGAGCACCATTTTGTATGTGATGGGATTTTCGAGGGCTGTGTTGAGGGAAACGTCGTTGTTTGGGACGGGTTGCCAGGTTGGTGGGAGGGTGGAGAGTGGAGGGTCTGGAGTGGGAGCTGCTGCTGGTGCAAGAGCTGGGGAGGAGCTTGCTGAGGAGATGGATATTGGTGCGGATGGTGAACCTCCAGGGAGTGAGGATGTAATTGTTTTGATCGGTGGGAGGTGGAGTTCTTCGTTGGATGTGATTGTTTTGATCGGTGGGAGGCGGAGTTCTTCGTCGTCGGTCGTGGGCAGGGATTCTCCGTGTGCGGTATCGTTTGGAGGAGCTTCGGTTTTCTGGTTGTTGGTGTTGTTAGCCACTGTGTCATGTTCAACGGTTCCAACTGGTAGGTAGCGTGCTGATCCAGCGGCTGCGGCTAAGATGTCGAGTCTGCTGATTCCGTGACTTGCTGAAGAGGCGCCGTTTGAAGTGTAGGATGTCACACTCCTTGGAGGGAGATGTGTTGGCCGGGGCTCATTTCCAAGTTGCGGGTACGACTGATAGCTGGCCATTTTGTTTGTATCCTTATCTGGAGCCATAAGGCTGTGGTCCTCGCGGTGCGCCATGTGGTGTGGCGGTGATGCAGAGATGGCCAGTAGCTCGAAGGTATTGAGTGCGGAGAGAGTGAGTGAGAGTCATTGATGACGAAGAAGTTTTAACCAAGTGAACTTCGCTCACTTTCGCGACGTATTCCAGAAATTGCATGTGAAAGCTGCGGTATTCTTGGCAACGGTGTAGCTGCCTAGAGAAGCCTGTGAGCCATGTTCCTCCGTGTGCCGCAACCGCATTCCTGGTCTTGAAGTCCATCACGTAGTCGAGCATCTGCGAAGGTAAACTCGGATGGAGTCGGTACATCTCATTCACAATTAAGTTATTCACTGAACATCAACAATTATCCAGGCCGATTCACCTGCATCAATCGTGTCTCAGTCTCCATCCGGATCCAATATGACATCTTCACTCTGCTCGAGCTCCTCCGCGGCACGTACTTGCTCGTCCAATTCTGCAATCTCAGGATCAACTTTATCTCCAAGATCTCTCGATCCAAGAAATGTTCGACCTTTCAAATTTTCAGGCAAATAGTCCTGTACCACTCGACCATCTTCGAAATCAGGGTTATATTTGTACTCCTTGCCGTATCCCAGCTCCTTCATTAGCTTTGTCGGGGCATTGCGCAAATGTATTGGGACAGGAAGACCTGCAACGCCTGGTTCGTTGAGAGCAGAGTATGCTGCATTGAGGCCGCGATAGGCTCTAACTGATTTTGGCGCCAGAGCCAAGGCAACAGCACAATGAGCCAGATTGATTCGACACTCTGGCATGCCAATCTTTTCTGCAGCGGTGTAGGTCGCAGTCGCGAGTGATAGCAGGCTGTTGTCTGCCAGCCCGACATCTTCGCTGGCGATAACTACCATTCTGCGGGCGATGTAGAGAGGATCTTCGCCAGACTGCAACATCCGCGCGAGATAGTACAGCGTGGCGTCAGCATTACTGCCTCGTACCGATTTGTGAAATGCAGATATTGTGTCGTAATGCTGATCGCCTGCTCGATCGTACACAAGTGTCTGGGTCAAACTCTTCTTGATGTCGTCCGTTGTCATCCCGGGCTTCTGACACAGATCAAAGGCAAGCTCGAGGAGATTCAAGCCAGTACGCGCATCTCCATCGGCAAAGGCTGCCAAATAGCGGACGAGAGCGTACTCATTTCCAGTGAGGAGTTGAATGCTCGTGCCGTCAGCTTCAGCATTGTGGTTCGCAGACTCGTCTGCTTGATCTGCTGAAGGACTTGGTGAAGGTGTGGGCAGGCCCGGAAGCTCGCGCAAAATTGCTCGGCGCAGAATTCCAAATATGTCCTCGTCAGTCAGCTTCGAAAGAGTGAAAGTCCGACATCTTGACAGCAACGCATTTACTACCTTGAAGCTAGGGTTCTCCGTCGTCGCTCCAATTAGTGTCACTTGTCCTGCTTCAACAGGCCCGAGGAAGACATCCTGCTGACTCTTGCTGAATCGATGTATCTCGTCGCAGAATATGATGGTCTTCCTGCCAGTCAGGCCCAACTCGTTCTTGGCATCCGCAAATAGCTTCTTGCACTCTGCCACACCACTTGAAGTGCTGTTGATCTCGACAAATCGGGTACCTGCCGTCTGCGCTATGAGTCTTGCAATGGTTGTCTTGCCAGTGCCCGGGCCTCCCCATAATATCATGGACGGCACTCGATCTGTGACGATCAGGTTTCGCAGCACGCCATTTGCGCCCACCAATTCTTGGCCTGCCACTTCGTCCAGGCTCTTTGGTCGCATGCGCTCTGCTAATGGCTGATGCGCATTCTTGGCCTTCTTCAGAGCCGGAACAGTGGACTGCACCTTATCGCCTCCTGATATCGCCCTCTCGTCTTCATCTCTGGGTCGTTTCGCGGGGGCAGTGCTTGGCGGCAGTGAGGATGGCGCAACTGGCGCAGGTCTCGCAAATGGCGTCTGTGTGCTTGATACAAGCGGCGATGAGCCATCTTCGACTCTCAATGCGCTCTTTTTCGCTGCCGGTGTGAAGAAGGCCGCCGCCTTCGAGCTCTTCTGCCTTCCCCCATCAGCCTGCGTCTGTGTTGGAGGCGGCGATGCTCCTTCGATGAACTCCTTGCAATCAGAGTCAATATGGCGATTGATGTCAGCCGCCTTCACGCCTTTGTCGCAGATCGGGCACGCGACCATTGGGCTGTAATTTCCATCTCAATCCAAATGTTCTATGACACGCGTGCGACAACGCGTAGAAGACGACGGGATCGCGGCTAGCAGATTAAGCTCTCCGGGCTAGAACCTAATTCACGCCACGCCACATTTATTAGCGCGAACAAGAACAAGGGTCCATGCCGCCTGCTGTCCGACAACATGTCTTCTCACACTAGAGAACCAGCTCTATGCTGCTCGACTCATGATATTGTTTATCGATAACTACTGATATAACACGCAGACGAACGACTCAAGTCCGAGTCCAGTATCGACAGCAGATCCTGCTGACAGTCTGCAGTTCGACTTCTTCGAGTTCAATGCCATCTGTGCTGCGAATGCGCCAGTTCTCCTTCCGCTTGGCAGACGCTTTGCACACGAACAGTCATGTTCTGCCATTACTTCTGAGGAAGTCTGATTTACAGACCTTGCGGTCGGCTATGGATATATGCTCACAATACTATGCCTTCGGCTGAGCTCTAAGAAGCTTGTCATGATGCTGAACACTGTAAGCATGCGAAGCAGCTTGCCATTATGCTGACCACTTTAAGCAGGTGAAGAAGCTTTCCATTAAGCTGACCACTTTAAGCATGTGAAGAAGCTTCAAACTCACTTGCTACCAAGCTTCCTAGCTTGTGCTAAAATGTCCTCACATTCACTCGCTACAGTATATTTTGGCGACTGTCAATACGGAATAACTTCTCCACCTTCTCTCTGCACCAGACATCAGCGAGAATATCACCAACCACAATCTCAAGCAGAAACCCGAACAAATTTCAGATTTGCCATATTTAACATCGATATAAGATGACCACGGAGTCAGACTGTCTCGTCCTGGGACTCTGTACTGGTCGGCCCGGTCTCGTCTCGAGCTCGAAATCGACCTCCAGCCGAAAAAGTGCAACCGATTCCGCGGACCACAGTTCGGAGAAAGATGGCGTCGAAACTACATCACACAGCGACGAGCCCGCACGTAAAATTTATTTCCCAGATCCAAGCATCGGCCTCGAGTCGTCAACATTCAGCAGCAAACAAGAAAACGCCGCGGCCAAACTGGAACGAGACCTAATCAGAAGCGACGAGACCTGGTACTGGACACAGATGAACCTCGCCATGGGCGCAAAATACGGCGTACGCTTCCCCTCTGAAATCCACCGAGTCTCTCCAGCAACAAGAATGGCGCTTCTACGAAACATGCAGAACTATCCACGGTCTCAAATCGTCGAAGAGGGCTATGATCCCGACTGGCCCGGTGGAGATACCATGTTCGGCGCGATCGCAGACGGAGATGAACGAGCTTTATCTTACGTCGCACGTCCTGAGAAATTATGTTCGAAACGGCAAAGTAATGCGCAGATTTGGTTTGCGAATGCCCCGCCCGTTGAAGCGATACCACCACCTGGGAGGGAGGGGTGGGATGAAGGGATTTTTGAAAGAGAGAAGGCGATTTGTCCTGTGCCGGAAAAGGATTTGTATTCTGGTGCTGGGGATCCGCTTGAACCGGTCGCCGAAGCTTCGCGGAGTGAGAGCGAATCGAAACGAAAAGAAGGGAATGTTGAAGAAGCAACTGAAGCATTCCTGCAGGAAGAGAAGAATGAAGAGCCAGTCGAAAGTCGAGATTCGGGCCCCTTGGTGGGCGAAGGCCTAGCGTTACCACGTGGTATTGTTGGATCTCTGAAGAGGAAGAAGAAAGCCGATAGTGTCTAGCATATCAGGCTGGATAGCCGAGTGACGAGTGACCAGGCAATCATGGATTTCGATGGTAGGGTTTTCAGGATGTGTTGCACCAAAGCGAAGTCTTATGCATGGCATGTGCTGTAGCCTATGAGTTGCCTATTCTTGTATAACGCCAGGAGGATTGACATGGGAGCATTAATATGGCCTGCCTCAATGTCCTGTTCCTCGTGCTCAATGCTCAGCACAATGCGTTCGGCAGCTCTTCCAGATTCCAGCAACGAAGACAGCGCGTCCAACTGCTCTGGTCACGAAATGCCATTTGCATGCCCCAGCAGCACATGCTCTCCAACCACAGCATACATTTTCACACAGTCCAAACTCCAACACATCGATCGCGTTCTCCGCCAACTCAACGCCAATGAGCTCGCCGCACTCAAACCTCTAGTCCAAAGCCACATACGACACCGGGAGCTCACGCATCAGAACCCAATCTTATAACTCTACCCAACTTGGTGCTCTGGTTTAGCAAACATAACAAAATCAAAGATTTTCTCCACCAAGTTGAAGTCAAGGAGCTTGCGGGGTTGCAATTTTTGACGGAGAAGCATACTGAGACCAAGAAAGTCGTGGAAAAGCTTGTATTCAAAGAATATCATCTTGTACGTTCCTGGAAGCCAGATGAGGCTGTCTTGATCAAGAATCTATTGCAACATTTGAATGCCAAGGAGCTCGGCTATATTCAGATTCTGGTCGATCTGTACATTATCGAGAGAAAAGAAGCGGCATCGATCCCTCATCCCAGCCGATGCTTCTCTTGATCCAGTCAACCTGCTTTCATCATTTCTGTGACAATCATCGACGACCTATCTTCCATTGCAAAAGTGCCGTATGATCAGACCACTAGCGACGATTTTGCACTCCGCAAGTTCTGTGTTGACAGAGTCTGCTTCCGTTCAACCACTTGCACCGACCAATGCCGAACCAGGTCGCCTCGTCACAACGAACAGTTTTTGACTTCCCCTTGGCTGCCTCTCCTTGGCAGACGGCGGTCTCATACCCTTGACGAAAACAGAGTCTCTGACCTCCCAAGCCACTTCAGAAGCGCCCATTGACCATGCTGAGCACAATACAAAGCCGAAGTTCTCAGCGGTAAAAAGATCCCAATCGACCCAGTGGCAGAGCTTGACGGTTCCGTAAAGTACGGGAAACACCGAGCCATGTTCATAACATATTCCAGTAACTCGTCCTCAGTGACGATCTCTTCTGCAGGTGGGAACCACTGACAAGCCTCATCGTCATGTGATTTAGCCGAGCTTTCGTAGCGGCGTAGGTGGAGGTTTTTGACACAGGTTCGGAGCAAATGCATCGTATCCCAGTAACAAGATATCAGATAAGCGAACATGAAGTTGGGGAACATCCAGGCTTTGTCGACAGTTCTCGCTTCGTCTTTCACCAAGTTTTTGAACGCATCAAATTCGTCGATTGAGACGAGCCAATAGGGTTGGAAGTTACCCAAGCTGGAGTTGAAGTCTCTCCACCAGGTCCTCAGACCTGCTTCGATGTTCCGTACATCGAGGAGGAGTTGGTCCAATTCTCCAACTGTGACGCTGTCGCCTTTCTCGTCTAGCTGATCATGGCGTTCGAGGAGGGCTGGGACTTGGAGTGCAAGATCGTAGAATCTCGAGCTCTCGTCCTTTTCGGAGAATGGAACACGTTTGGCTACCGCTCGCCACTCTCTTCTCCCTAGAAACGTGCCTTTTCTTGTCAAGTACGCGTGGCTCAGAGCTCCGTGCTTCATGTTACTGAACAGCATTAGAGACAAATAACTCCGCACAGAGTCCGGACCTCGAGCTTCCAGAAGCTGTCGGCTGCCATCGATGTGATGACTCTAGCCAGTACCAATCTGAGATATCTCATCATAGAACTCGCATGTGGCTAGAATGTTGACTGTAGCTAGGACATAGTCGTCCATTACGCTATCGTTCCCGGTTGAAGTACTGGTGCTGAGAGTGCAGATGAGTCCATTAAGTGATGCGCTATAAGCTTTGATTAAGCCTCGAATATTGTGCTATTCAATAAGTCGCGCCATGCGCGGAGACTATGGATATTTCCGCGTAGCTACTATTTTGCCGTAGACCCACCTACACTATACAAATTTAGTAGCAATCTAGGGACGGAACGAAAGCCTTTCTTACCTCTGTCTACTTAGGTTCTCTTAGTAAAGCTTAAGGTTAAGAACAAGGCATATTCGGAAGCCGTTAACGAGCCGTTACTATACTAAGAGCCTCTAAGCGACTATAGAAGCCTTCCTCGAAGAAGAAGGCCCTTCTCGCATAGCAATCGACTAACCGAGCTACTAATAACGCTAATAAGAGGCGCCGCCGAGAGCTAACTATTAAGCTAAGTAAAGGGCCTATAACTAACGACGAGTTGCTAGCAGACACTTAGCAAACCGAGCAACCCGAGCAAACCTAGCAAACCTAGCAAACTAGTATAGACGATAAGGACTATATATCGGCTAAAGAAGAAGATAAAGCTATAGAGCAAGAGCGAGAGGTCTTTAAGTACGTTATATAGTAGACAATAGTTAATCTAGCTAATCTACGGTTGCTACTATCGACTAAGTGCTTTCTACTCGAGACTACTAGCAATAGCGACTCCTACTACGAAGAGGTTTATAATTAGTACGCTAACTAGCTTACTATCGGCTCTAACGACGACGACTATAAGTTAGCTAGCTTAGAGATAGTCGCTTTAGCCGACAAGATTAAGACTAAGCACTATTTCCGTAGTACTAGTATATAGAAGGGCAATTTCTAACGTGCGTACGATATGCTAGCCTCTTAGCGCTCTTAAGGCAAGAAGGGCTTGCGACTAGACTTTAGGTTAACTATAGAGCGACGGAAGACAACCGCTATAGCTATAGAGGCGCTATTAGCTCGTAGTAGAGCTAGTCGCCGCAATAACCGGATAACTAGACCTCGTACAATAGCGACTTAGTAACAGTTAGACGCTCTACGTACGAGCTAAGCCGAAGTTAAAGGTTAATCTAATACCTTAGAGGCTAAAGCGGACGACAATAACATAGCGTTAACTAGCTCGTTAACTAACCTACGTTACAAGTTAGCAAAGCGGTAGCCTTATAAGAACAGATACTATCTTAACAAGGGTAGACTTTGCTAGTTTAGCGGTCCGGACAGAGCGGAAGACTACTATAAGGTCTATCCTAAGATTGCTAGTCGATAGATTAAAGGATTATAAGACGGTCGATTAACTATTAGTAATCTAGGCTCCGCCTTAGCCTTAAAGATATAGAAGAACAGGGGTCGACAGCTCGTTAACCTATTTAAGACTCTACGGACGACTAGAACAGCCGCTATTAGCTCTTCAACCCCTATAGTAATCTATAATTACTATAGCTAATAGTAGGCTCCTTAGAAGCATCGTTTGTCTAGTCCGCTAGCGGCTTCTAGTCTAATAGTAGCTTCTAGTCTAGCTGGACTGCTATTAAGTCTAATTCTAGGCTTAATTGCTTCCTATTAGTCGTATATAGCGGATATAGAACTAATAGGCTTCTTTAGCTAGTTACGTAAAGAATTAAGTAGTAGCTAGACTAAGCGGCACAGTAATATAGCTATTATTAAGCGCGTATTCGCTAAGGAAGGCGACTTCTTACTTAAACAGCTAAGGAAGGTGAAATTAAGCCGTTAGGTTGCTGCTAGACTTAAAGAAGGCTAACACGCTCGATTTGTTGCTACAGTTAGTCGATATATAGACAAGGAGGTACGTAAGTAGCGGCTTAGTCGGATTAACGAGTCGTTAGATAGTCTGTTCTTTAGTTAGCTGCAGAAGCGCTGTTTTAGTATAGAAGCGAGGTCGAAGGTGGATTTCCGGTTGTAGGTCGGCGGCTTAATAGCTAATATTTAGTTTGACTAATATCGCTTCTTATTCCACTAATACTACGTATTTCTGTATAGTATAAATTAGAGGTGCATTAGATAGATATTGTCTCGGCTCTCTATACTTGTAGTAATAAAAAACAATGCGTTATAGTATTGCGCTAGTATCGAGTTAGAGTAGTTAAAATTAGCTTCTTAAGTGTAGACCCGCTAGGCTTAACCGCCGAGTAGAGCCGAGTAGAAGCCGAAATTTCGGCAGGCTCGGTATAGAGGAGGGGCCTAATATCGCGAATTTTCTAATATATTACCGAGCCTATATCTTTACTATAAGTGTATATTTTTTAAAACAGACAACGGGGGGTTGTTTAGCGGCATTAATAGTGTTGTTTCCTACTAAAGAGATAATATAGATATGTTGTAGTAGTGTTAGGCTAGCACCCTATCGGTCGGTATAGGTTCTAGCTTTCTAAGCGGTACTCTCCGGACCGCTACTCGATTGCGATACGAATATAGCGACCTACTAACGGCACTACCTTAAATGAACTCGAGGTGATACTAGCGATAGAAACGGCTTAAACCCCGCCAAATTCTAGGCTCTTTAGTCGCAATAGCTACTAGTAGCGCATCGGAGGTATATCGATTAGGTATTACGGTAGGTTTGACTAATTCTTCGTAGATTGCCGATAGTTAAGAAGAAGAGGACCTTATAAGAGATACGACTACTATATTACCGTTAGCTATCGAGTTAAGAAGCTCGTTACTATAGCTAGTATTTCTAGATCTATAGCATATAGAGGCAATAATAAAGGAGCAGGCGGCTAAGACTGCGCGTGCTATTATAGAAGAAATAAGACAGGAGATAGACGAGTTAAGAAGCCGTATTGCTAAGCTAGAGACAGTCGTTAGTATAAGCGAGTCTATTAGAGACTAAGTGTTATTAATATCTCCAACCTGCCTTCTAAAACTACGCCTCTACGTACTATTATATATTTAGCTCGTTTACCGCGTGTCTTATAAACTATCTGAAGTCTTTAAAGCAGTTAGCCTCGTTAATATTCCTCTTAATCTACGCCTTTAACGATAAGAACGACAATTCAATAGAATTGAAATCTAGTAAGTACGGCGGTAGCATCTTTAGGTATATACCTGCCCTTTAATACGCCTCTTTTACGCCGTCGGTGCGGTAAATCGAGGCGTTATCTATTACTAATATTATACTAGGCTCCATTTGCGGGAGCACTGTCTTCTCGAGCTAGTACTCGAATATCGCTCCGGTAATAGAGCCTTAGTAAATAAGGGTGCCTTAAAGGTATTTATTAACGCCGATCGCAGGTAATATACTCTATCTCTTCGAGCGTATAGTACTACCTTCCTCGTAGATTAGACGGTTAATAGGACCGTATCTATACTTCCGCTACCTAGTACGCTTATTCGAGGCACTCTTATCGACCGTTACGACCTTATCCGTAGACATACCTATTTGCTACATTCTAAAGTTATTACGTAACTCGCTGTTCTGCTCGGCGGCGACGCGATACGCCTTCTTTCTCGTCTATTTGCGGTCCTTTAGTATACGCGACACCGTCGGCTAACTTATAATAACACTAAACTCGTCCTATAAGTACTATACTACCTTATCTTAGTACGCCGTCGGTCGGTCTGCGAGGAAGTCGAATATACGCTATAGTAAGAGCTAGGTTAGTTAGGTAGGCGGGAAATAGGCGGATATACCTATATCTTTATAGATTAGTAATAGGCGCCTTAGACGACCGAGTTTAGCAAGGTCCTTAATATAGAATATACTAAATAAGAGGTAATTATTATAGAGCTTATTAATAGTCCGCCTAGTAACGTTTACGACCTTAGAGATCGCATTATTAGACAGATTGCCTTCGTCGAAGAGGCGCTTAATCTTATTAAGTTAGTCGTCTAGTAGGCGCGCTATAATAATACTTTTAAAGGCTCTATACTACTAAAAAAGCGACGACAAAGTTTTCGGCATAGTAGTAGAGATCTACGAATGCCAAGAACACTAAGTTACATACTAATTTTAGTAACAGGTGGTGTAGAACTGAAAATCGGCTCTCCGACTGCATGGCGCGACTTATTGAATAGCACAATAAGGTTTTGATCCTTGTAGACTGATCCAACCTGCACTATCGAGAGCGCGTCTAATGCGTTATCCACTTCTAGTCGCAGCTGTAGTGTCGTGATCAAATGTTGAAGAAAAGAAAAAAGGGTATCGTATTTCTGTCCCATCCGATTGGGGAGGTAAGTGTCCATAAAGGTGGAATAGATCATTTGTCTCTCTAGAGCTGCGGAGGGAAGGTATGTGGGTAGCACCATGGCTTAGCTAAAGTTGAGAGTAGATTCATCCAAAGTACTCGAAGTCTTCTGGCGGCGTGGCAGAGAAGCCATCTTCTTGGAGCAAATCCAGAACAGGCATTCGTGTGTACAAATCATGGTTCAGCAGGTCGTCCCAGTCGGTCGGATTGCACCCTACGCCCATATCTATATCGATGATTGCGTCTAGTGAAGATGTTGGCGAGGCTTTGAAATGGTTAGCCGTAACACTCACTCCTGCTTAGTAGGGCCAAAAAAGCTGAAGGAGTGGATGTCGAGCTATTTGATGCTTTTCTTCCTAAACCGTTCTTCCCATACAATCTCAAAACCGTCTCTGCTGTTTGGTCCATAAATGCTATCTGCCCGGGAGCGGGCTGTCGATATCCAGGACATGATACTCCATGAGTTTTGCAACGATCACAGCCTGGACGTTTTTCATCGCACCTAATCTTGCGTCTCCTGCACATTGCACATGCCGTAGACTTTGTCGGCATCTCGCCAGGCGCCTATATAGCCCTATTCGCTCCTCCAGCGGTCGACAGACATGAGCTCAGGCCGTACAGCAGCTAGTCTGCGTTTGTCATGTCATGCAGCAACAGACCGTGCTGCCTGTATTTCCAATGTCTTTCCGTACACAACAGCCTCGAGGTTGTGGGTGTCGCGTTCCACACAGCTCGTGAATGCGAGATCGAGGTGTTGGCGGTCGAAGGATGCGAGTCGTGAAGTAGATGTAGCGCAGCCAACAATGCACAGCATTTCGGCAAAGACGTGATGTTCATATACCATATTGTGGGAGTGTTGCGAAGAGTTACAGGTTAAGGCACCATGTGGTGCTAAGCTCAAGCTCTCATCTCGAGGCGCTGAGCTGAGGCGCTCCTTCCTCTGGAATCTGGACTTCGGCTTTGACATCAACCTCTTCACAACTTCGCATACGAACTATCGCAACCCATCGATCAGCAGTGACACGACAGGCTCAGCCTTGATGCCGACGGAAGGATGCCTTGTACGAAATAGCTCACCATACTGGGAAGCTAAGGTAGCGCGGGCCCGCGCGCCCTACTGACGGTTCCTCTTAGCGATAGCTTTGGAAGCACGACCTTGCGACTCGCCGCGAGTACAAACTGAAATGGCCATAAGATCAAACAGACTCCGAAACCCCCGAAGACCCGCGGACGGAAGCAAAGGGGCACGTCTGAGCCACGGTCAGATATTGGCAGCATTGCTGGCGAAAGACGCGCTCGATGTCCTCGTCAACGATCGACCCGAGCAGACGACGCGTATACTGCACTATGATCCCAAGAACACCAGTGACATGGTGTCGGTCGCGACGACGCTCGATGACTCCCATCCGACCAGGCATAAAGAAAGCGGAAGACGCCCTATCTTCTTCTGCTTGAAGAGTCGCTTCTCTCTGACCTTCAAGTTATCAGGGATATAATTGTGCTCCTTCGAGCACAGCCTTCACGAAGGGCGTAAGACTAGAAGAGCCACTGTGTGGAAGCATTCCCCATGTTCAAGGGCGAGCCGGCTTGGCTGTTGGCGAACGCACTATGAGCTGCAGTATTACACACCCTGCGCTGCTTCAACATGAGCTTGACACAGTGGCATGCGGAGGTCGGACTTTCACATGTCAGCATGCAGTCTCGCAGAAGTGTAGACATTCTCTCATATATGAATTTCCCGCATCCATGTAGAGCCACCGGCAGCTCTCCAGCCCATACAGATTTTGAAGAATTTGAGGCATCTTATGCAGTACCAGCCGACTTTGGACGTGGCCAGCAAACCAGACAACAGGAGGTCATAAAGGCAGATTGAGAGGGTTGCCAGATTCTAACGTAAGGCCCATTGTGTGGTTTGCTTCTCAAATCCAGAGCACCATCCTCGCATAGCAAGCCTGTCAGCTATGGAAGTTCAAGCAGAGCTACAAAAGGAGTGTCAGCGCCGGAATCCTCACGATACGCCGTCTCTTTGACGATCGGCCTATACGGTATGCGGTAATTCCCCTCAGGATACCATGGTGTCGAAGCTCCAGAAACGAGCATCAAGTGTCGATCTCTTCGGAATTGCCAGCGATGATATGATATACCGTAGGTCCGCCTAGCGCAGCGCAAGCTAGTGTGTGGAGATAAGAGCCCTGAAGGAGCACTGGACAGCCCACACGATCTCAGCATGAGATCTGATCTCCCCAGAGCCGTCCAGGACGATACAGTACGTCTGGCATCCGGATACCATAGCGCAAGCCAATATGTCTTGTGAGTGAGAGCTCACAAAACCTCGTGATAAGATCCGATCTTCCGCGAATCGCCAAAGTCACTGAAATATATCTGGAATCCGGATGCCACAGCGCAAGCCAGTATGACGAGATCGGAGCCCTAGAGTGAAAACTGGACAGCTTTCCCGAAAGTGCACCAGAATCGGATCTCCCGGTCGCGACACAGGACGATGCACTCAGCGTGTCATTCCACATACGATGGATCAGGCCAGGGTAGAAGGATGAGACAATGATGGACTTCCAACAGCATCCCGAAGGAAAGCATCGGACAGCTCTTACTTTTCCCCCTCTTCAGGAACAGTCGATAATGATATGATGTACCTCCTCGCACCTGGAGACCACTGTACCGTAGCCCGAAGTCAGAAGGCAAGAGAAGGAAGAAAATTGTGTTACTACAAGCTCAATGGTAGTCTTCTCCTGCTTCATAGACCTGGATTCTGGATCGAGTTTCCGCGGACTTCAAGGTCATGGAATAGTATACCTGGATTCCGGAGACCTTGGATGCGCTTCTCCACACGAAACCAAAGAAGATAAGACGAGGAAGTGAGCATGTCATCATCTCAAGCCTAGTTGTTCTCCGCGGACTTCGAGGTTGTAGAAAGCTATACCTGGATTCCGGAGACCTTGGATACGCTTCTCTGTACGGAACTAGCCAAAGAAGAAGATGAAGAAGTGAGCATTGTTCTTCTTACCAATCAACTCAAGCCTAGTTGTATCCGTAGTCCTCGGTGCTATAGAATTGTATACCTGGATTCCGAACACCTTAGATGCGCTTCTCTATACGGAGCCAAAGAAGATAAGAAGAGGAAGTGAGCATGCAAATCATCTCAACCCTGGTTGTCTCCGTGGTCCTCGGTGCCATAGAATAGCATACCTGGATACCGGAGACCTTGGATGCGGAGCTAAAGAAGAAGAAGACAAGGAAGTAAGCATCATCCTGCCTGCTTACAAACCAGCTCAACCCTGGTTCTCTCCGTAGTCCTCGGTGCTATAGAAAGCTATGCCTGGATTCCGGAGACCTTGGATGCGGAGCCAAAGAAGAAGAAGACGAAGAAGTAAGCATTGTCCTGCCTGCTCACAAATCAACTCAAGTCTGGTTGTTTCCGCGGAGTGCGAGGTTATAGAATAGTATACCTGGATCCCGGAGACCTTGGATACGCTTCTCTACACGGAGCCAGCCAAAGAGGAATAAGACAAGGAAGTAAGAATTGTCCCGCTCACAATCAGCTCCCGGCTAGTCGTTCCGCGGACTTCAGCACAACAGAATAGTATACGTGGATCCCGGAGACCTTGGATGCACTTCTCTCCCCGTAACTAGCTAAAGAATCAGACGGGGAAGTAAGAATTGTCCTGTTCACAACTCAGCTGTTCTCGTCGTCTCCGCGGACTTCGACGCACTGGAATAGTATACCTGGATTCTGAAGACCTCAGAGGCACTTCTCGATATGGAGACCAACCCAGAAAGAAACAGCGCGCAGTGAACTTCTCCTGCTCACAAGTCAGCTTGTCTGGTAATTCTCCGCGGACTTGCGAGGTTATAGAATCCTATACCTCGATCCCGACCACCTTGGATGCGCTTCCCAACATGAAGACCAACTCGGAAGAAAGCACGCGCAGTGAACTTTGTCCCGCTCACAACTAGCTTAAGCCTGGTTCTTCTCCATGGTCCTTAACGCAATAGAAAGCCATGCCTGGATTTCAAACACCCTGGACCCGCTTCTCTACACGGAAACCAACTTATCAAGAAAGCCCGCGCAGTGAACTCCGTCCTACTCACACATTACCTCCAGTCGGGTTCTTCTCCGTCGTCCTCAACGCAACAGCAATCTAAACCCAGATACCGAAGCCCACACACCAACCAATACATATAGAGGAGACACACAGAGAGAGAGAGAGAGTGTGTGTGTGTGTAAGAAAAAGAAAAAAAAAGAAAAAAAAAGATATAAACACCGAATTGCACTCACGTAGACACCGACTCGACCCGATATACTCGACCCGACGACAACCAACTTGGGGGAAAAAATAAGAAAAAAAGAGAGCGCGGTGAACTTTCTCCTACTCGCACATTACCTCCAGTCCGGTCGTTCTCCGCGGTACACGATATAACAGCAAGCTATGCCTGGATGCTGGAGACCATACAATGACCAATCCATATGAGAGACAGAGAGGACTCGGAAGCGCGCAGTGAGCTTTGTCCTGCTCGCACATTAGCTTCACTCTAGTTCTTCTCCGTAGTACGCGATGCAACAGCAATCTATGCCTGGATGCCGGAGACCATACAACCACCAATCTATATGAGAGACATAGAGAAAAAGACAAGAAATGTGAACAGCGAATTGCTCACGTAGAAATCGACTCGACGTACTCGACATCCTCGACAGCATATACCTGCGACTTGAACAGCACGAATAAGACAAGGAAAAGGAGAAAAGGATGCAGTTCTTTTGTCATATTCCGTAAGCTATCTCCGCTGGAGTAAACGAGAGCCTCATGCAAGAGTGTGCCAAGATCACCTGAGCCGGCCTCCCTCGGCTCTCTCTCCCCTCGATGCATTACATTACATGTTAGCAGATGCCATCTGCTATGCAATGCTTGTATGTTATCTGTGAGATGATCCTACTTCTCACTGCCTTGGGCGGAGAGGGTCACCTCGCTGTCCTCCTTCAAGAAGAGGGGGTTGGCGAAGGTGCCATCCCTCATGTCCCCACCACTGCCATTGCCGCCGAAGTTGAAGGGCATCATGTCATTGCCGAACATGTCCCACATGCCACCACCACCACCGAAGAGTGGATTTGGGATGAAGGAGTTGTTGCCAGAGCTATTGGCCTGGTTGGAAGTGGTCATGCCGGCCTGACCAGACACGTTGGCACCAAAGGCGTTGCCGAATCCGCCCATACCACCGCTCATACCTCCGATCTGGTAGCCAGGGCTGGGGTTGACAGTACCGTAGCCGCTGGAAGATGGACGGAAGCCGGTGTTCATCTGACCCCACGAAGGCTGACGAGAGTGGATGCGCTGACCGCCGTATGGCACCTCATTGGTGACTGGTGGCGGACGGGTCGAGTAGCCGAAGCCAGAGGTGAGGAAGTTCATGTTGGAAGGCTGGTCGAACGTGATCTCTGGGCCGGTATTGTCGCGGTGGATGCTGATGCCGGAGCGCTTCTCTTGCTTGATGGTACCACGTGCGCGGTAGGTGAGGTCGTCATCATCGACATCGCCGAAACCGCCGCCATAGTATGGGCCGTTGAGAGTCTGACCGTAGCCTGCATTGACGCGGCCGCGAGTGAGGCGACCACTGTTGGCGTCCTTGTTACGGAGGGCGGCGCGAGTAGCGGTGCTCTTCTTCTTGCGTAGGCGCTTTGGACCACCGTCGTCTTCTGGGGCTGATTCGCCGCTGATGAGGTCGTCGTCAGACAATGGGACGTTGACATCACGCTCCTTGCGAAGGATGCCGTCCTCATCGAACACCATCTCAATGGGAGTGATTCTCTCACTAGCACGCTGGAGGCCAATCAGGACCGATGCATGCTTCTTCTGGTTGCGGCGACGCTTCTGTTCAGGCGTGGCAGAGTCAAACTGGAGCATTCCAGGCCACTGGATGCCCTTAGGGGCGATGTTAGCGTTGTTCTCCTCTTCTGCGTCCTCTTCCTTAATGTAGGACGCGATTGAACCACTCATGGACGGGCGCTTCACCTTCGGGTAGGGGACACGGCGAGCGCGTGTGACGGGAGCCATTATCTCGTAATCTTCGTCGTCGTCGTCGTCGTAGTCGTCGTAATCACTGTCGACACTCTCTTGCTTGATGGAGTTGGACACCGGCGAGTCGTGCAAGCTGCCGAAGGCCCAGTTCTGAAGCGGTGGTGGTGGTGCAAAGTTCTGAAAGTTGGTGGGATTGTAAATGAAGCCGTTGGCAGGCGTGACGGATCGTGACAAGGGATCAGTAACAAGACGACGATTGAGCTGAGGATCAAGGAGATGCTGCTGTGTGCGGAGTCTGCTCTGCCGACGAGCAGCGTTGTTGCTGGCGGATGGTGTGCTGCGAGCCGAGTTGGACTTGGCTGGAAAAAGAGTCAGTGTCAAAGCTTGAGTGAGGGTCAATTGTTGTCAAAACAGTGCAAACTCACGCGCAGAACTTCGGCGAGCAGCCCCATTGCCGGAGCGACTCTTCTTCTCCTTCTGGCTCAACCGCTCGTGCATTAGGTCGTCCAAGTTGTACTTCTGGTACCACTCATTGTAGTCCTCCATGAGCTGCTTGGCCTCTGCATCGTGATTGGCCTTCACCGACACCTTGTACTGTGCAGAGAGGTGGCCTTTGCTCTGGATATGAGTGAGGAGATGGCTGACGTCGGAGAAGTCTGGCTTCTTGGGGCAGACATTGCAGTGCAAGGGAATGTCGGCGCCTTCTAGCAAGTTCATGAGCTCTCACGAGTGCAGTCGTGGCGTAAGGCTGCTTGCAGTGCGGCAGGCAGGCACTTTCTGTGGGATTGTCAGCGTCAGCCGGTGAGAGCGAGAGAGCCAGCTTTTGACGGTGGTGGAGGCCGGCAGTGGCAGTGGCAGTGGCAGTGGCAGCGGCAGGCCAAAGCGAATGCAGACGCCAGGCAGAACTCACTCACCTGTGTGTATGCTGCTGCCCACCAAAACGAGTGATCCAAAAGGAGTGACGAAGGCGACAGACAAGAGAAAGAGTTGGCGGTGATGGTGAAGCAGCAGAGATGGAGATGGAGTCGTCGACGCTCTGCTCTCGTCTGTTCACGCCTGCTGCTGTCGTCGCGTGGTGGAAGAAGGTATCACTTGCCAGAGAAGTGGTGTAGCAGCAGAAGGAACCACTCCTCAGATGGCAGTCGCCTTGAGGTCGCCAGCCTCAACCACAACAGGCTAGGCCAGGCCTCGCGCGATACCCTGCCAAGACGGGCACAAAACCTACGACGAGCGATGTGGGGCATGGAAGTGATGGACAGCGAGGCTGGCAGTGACATTCTACGGTCAACGAGCGTGTTGCGACGCGTCTTTACGCTGGCATCACCCATTGTAGTGCTGGGGGCGCGTCAGGCTGGCATCGTGATCGTATCGATACGCACAAGCCAGATGCTTTGACGAGAGAAGCAAGGAGCAGGTGCGAGACACGTTCTCAACAGACAATAATGCAATGGGACGATACTGTGACGGCGGTGCTCGACTCTCTCTCAATTGGTTTCACTTCCAGGATGCGTGAAAGCCGCATGACCACCGTCACGCAGAACATGGCCTGACCAGCATCAGGCTGCGTAATGCCAAAGGCGGCATAATCGTTTGTTGCTTGGAGAAGGAAGACATCAAAGGTGTGTAGGACATGTACTTTATGCTTTTGTTGTTTTCTCACACACGTGGAGAAGTGGAGAAGTAGACAAACAAGGTGCGTCGTGAAATTCACTTTCATGCTCATCGTCACATGTCGCCTTCTCCAAGCATCGACGGAAGAAGTTGGCCTGATGTTACATTTCAATTCATCTCTCCATCGCTCTAAGCTACTATTCATACACAGGCTCTCGTAGCCTCAGTTACCGGTAAAGCAAAGAAAGGGTAAGGTATCACGTCGCGCTTTCCCACCTCCCAAGTCAAAACGCGCGTGAAGCTGTCGTGAGAAGCATGCCGTCCGTTATTCGCGCCCAGCGCCTTTGCTCCCGCATTGACTGTCCTTGTTGAGATATGACCTCCAGCTATCTATCGGTGGTGGCCTCGTCAAGGACCACGATAGTGTGATCTTGTGGTGATGATGAGTGGGTATTGTGTCAACGCCTTTTTGCTCCACCGCAAGTGCAACAAGTGGGGTATCAGAGAAATTGAGCTCATGTTTCCATGCCGACCCAGTGCTTCGAAGCCGTTGGGACGGAATGGTAGAAGTTGACAGAGAGTATGGTCGAGAGTGGAAACGAATGCCCCTACGTGAAAGGCGACACGGCGCTGAAATCGTGAACCAAGAGGCTTGATTGGCCTTTTGCATCCGTCTACAGCTCAGCCTCGACGCATCGACTGTCTGCTGACTGGACGTGATGGCGGACGCACTGGATAGCCATAATCTGCATTGCTCTTGACCGGCGTCATTGGCACGTCGCTGCGGCTGCGATTGTGGCCTGTTCCGATTTTAGGAGTGTGACTGTTCGAGCGAGACTTGCTTGTGGGGCCGGATTGGTCCATCATCCCATTCATCCCCGTCATGCCATTGGCCGGACCTGCGCCTTGTGCCGTCGAGGGACGCTGAGTATCTTGCTCCATGCCGAGACCGAAGCTTCCATCCGACCGACCTTGGCCGCCAGCGGGCTTGTAGGTCTGGGGCATCTTATTCTCGTTCTTGCGATCATGCAGATTGTTGAGATTGCCGTGGGATATCGATCTGCACTCGTAGCTGCTGACTGGCTTGTTGCTGCTGCCACTGCTCAGGGCGCGCTCGTCCTGCATAGATCGGTCATCGATAGTCGACGACCACAGGCTGTTGTTGTCCAGCGACTGCTCGTCGCCGGCGTTCTTCTGCTGCTGCAGACGCTCTGGGTCGTGACCCTCCTCGATCATCTTCTCGATAGTCAGGTATTCCTTCTCAGTGAAGCAACCCTGCCAGCAGTGACGCCAGTCTCCCACAAGGTAGTTGAATAGCCAGCGATCGAGGTTGAGGCACGGACCTACGCAGACAGCAAGATTGTTGAGGTCCATCTTGTTGCGGTCCTTGTTCGTAAGCAGGAGCGAGAGATGGCAGGTGATGGCGAACAAAAGGTAGTAGTTGAATGGTGAAAGCTCCGACAGTGCATCGCGTAGCAGCTGTGGCGCTTCCTGGCCGACATTCTTGTAGTTCGGGTTCTCTTTCTCGAGAGCAGTGGCCAGCTCTTTTTGTAGGTGCTGTGGCATGACTTCGGTGGGCAGTTCTCGGAACCAGGCTTTGAGCATACTGGCGATTTCGTTGGTGTCGCCAACTTCTTCGTCCAGTAGATCGATGTCCCCTAGTTCATCGAAGCGTCGCTGCCAGTGCTTGACTTGTGGGCCGCTGCCTGGAATGCGGTAGAGGCCCTCTTCTTCGCAATTGGTGTTCAGGAAGCTGTTTTCAATTTAGCACAAGTCACCCAATGCGATTTCTGGTAAGCACTTACTCGATGCATCTCCACGGAAGGGCTGGCATCCAGTACTCAGTCTTGTCTCTGCAAGAGGCCAAATCTTTGCTGATTCGTGTCGCGCGGGTCTGCTCAACGAGTGGCAGATTGATCTTCTTGATCACATACTCGCTGTCTGGAATCTTGCCATCGTTGCTTGGTGTCCGGTCCAGAATGTGTCTGGCACCTTTGCCCATCATCTTCCCCATTCTCCCCATGAAACCTCCTCCACCCTTTCCCTTGCCATCTTTGGGCACGGAGCGTGAGAGATTCTCGTCGCTTCCAGCTGCTGGTGCTGGAGCACGTTCTGCCGATGCGCCACGTCGATCCTTCTCTTTTCCTTTCATCCTTGCTTCTGATCCAGGCCAGTCAGAATGCAGTGGCGCTGTCTTGGGCCCTGCCTCTAAGGAGTCCTTGGATTGTGCTTTGCTATCGCCGTTCGGTACTCCGTTGGCGAAAGACGGCCGCGGTTTCGAACTCGAATCTCTCCGAAGTGATGGCTTTCTTCCAAATCTTGGAAGAACGTTGTTACTTCGTTTCTGCTTCGAGTTTGTGCTGTCTTCACTCTGCTTCGGTGTGGGCTGCGGTCTCGCTGCTAATCCCGGCTTCTCGCCTGTGAAAACGACTGTCAGCGGTGTCTTGAACAATGCCAACTGAGTACGAGCGTGACGATGGTGGTTGGCTGATTGGCGCTGGCGATGTTGGCATGTCGTTGTAGGTGTCGTGAAAGCGACTGATATGGCATGGTGAAGTGAAGCGCCGTTACAAGTGAGCTCCCTTGTCACCGCTTGTATTAGGCACCACCTACCAACCAACCACAATGGCCAGAACTTCACCTGACGCACGAGCCTTCTTCTCAAAGTATGTACGCACTATGCATGACGTTGGTGCGCTTCAAAGACATTCACTTACTTTCTGACGATTCCTTGTGGTGGATGTTCTCGTTGCTGCCCAGCAAGCTCAACTCGGGCGTGCTTCCCGGGTTGTTCCGCAGGTGGTATATCTTGGACACACTGCTCGTGTTCGGTCGATAGTCATCTTTCTCATTTTTTCCTTGCCGCGTGTCCTTTTTCTGGTCCTCCTTGGGCGAGCTTTTCTTGCTCTTGAAGCTGCTCAAGAAGGAGGTGTCCCGAGTGTGCTGTCGCGGCGAGCCCGGCGGCGATTGCGGTTGCGGATGCGGATGCGGATGCGGTTGCGGTTGCGGTTGCGGTTGCGAGTATGTGGGCATCTCCTTGGGTAGAGGAGTCAGCCCGGAGGCCACGTCGTGCTGGAAATCGCCGCCAAAGGAGCCCAGATCGACTCCCTGCAGGTTCACGGGGCTGATCTGGTGGCTGGTCTGCAGGCCATTGAAGCCGGAGCCGCTACCGCCGTTCTGCGTCGGCTGGAGGTCGAGCTCTGAGGGCTTGGGGTGTCGAGGCATGGTCTTTCGTGTCGGTGGTGGGCGGGTCGGGCGGCGTGAAATTGCTGGCTACCGCAATCGGCAGCGGGCCCGTCGGGGCGGGTTGGCAGACAACGGTGTCACTCCAGCGCTCGCAAGACGGAGGCCGGCTACATGCAGTGGCACGTCGGGCGCAGGTATTGCAAGACCAAGACCAGCCTGATTTGGCGAGAGATTGCAAGTTGCCGTCGGAACAATGAGCGACAGGCGCTGCGAGACAAAGAGAAGGGCGCGCCCGCTGTCGGGTGGACCTTGTGTGTCGGCTCGGCCTGCTGTGCAGCACTCGAGGGGGGCTGCTGGCTGTCCTCTGTCCTCTGCGAATGTGCGCCGTGTTGCCGGAGGAGCGGCGAGAGGCAATGGCGGCGGCGGCGGCGGCGGCGTGTGTGTGTATATGTGGTCGGCGCGGCCAAGCCACTATTATGTCGCAGGTCCAATGCTGTGCCTGAGCTTCTTTGTGCGAGAGGAGCGGGACAGCAGAGCGCTGAGGCTAAGCAGTGCAGTGTGCAGTAGTCGCGAGAGATGGGCCGGGATGCGGATTGCGGATGCGTGGTGCAGTGAGGTGGTGGTGGTGGTGGTGGTGGTGGTACGCTGTGCAGCGGGTGGTACGTATCGATCAGGAGTGCAGTGCACGTCGCTCGGGTACCTGACTCTCGCACAGTCGCTCGGTCTCGGCTGCTGCTGACGGCGAGCAGAGCAGCTTTCGGCTTGTCAGAGCTGACGGTGCAATAGGGTCATGTCGAGCACAGCAGAACAGGAGTCAGCGTGTCCCTGAGCGTGAGGCCGGGGGGAATGCCAGACGCCAGACGCCAGATGCCAGCAGCAACCAGGAGTGGAGATGCGCAGCGCACACGCCGGCGCCGACGCTGCCGCTGACGCTCTATTTTAGCGACGTGAACCGTGCTGGCTCTGGCAGGAACACAAAGAAAGTTGCGTCTAGTCAAGAACAAGAATATCGTAACGGAATGCGCCTGCCATGCCGCTCCATTGAGAGATTGTCGAAATAGCGGCGTGTTCCTCCACCTCCGCCACGAGACAATAATACAATCATAGAACTATCATCATGCCGTGTTTCACAAGCACATCACCTGCGCATGCCATGCCTGGACCTGCTTCCCGTTTCGCACGCATCCATGCAGGGCCCCGTCATGATTCATCTGGCTAGTGCAATCGGGCCGCGCTATTATTTATTGGTTTCATCACCACCACTTCACTCTGGCCTTGATGCCTGTCGGCCATCTGCCATCTCTACAGTACTGTAGTCGGCATCGAACACACTGCCACCCGCAGCGCAGCGCAGCGCAGCGCATCAGAAATGTCGCTCGCCGCTGGGCCCGGCCGCGGTGGAGGAGCTTCGCACCTCCCACTCCAACTCAATTTGGTCGTGGACAAGCATGTAGCCTACATTCAAGCTCTCGATTCTGTAAGTCGCCTGCAAGAGCCTGCCTTTCTCTACTACCGCCCAGCTGACACTGACCATGCAGTAGCGCAACGACGAGCTTCAGTACCATCTCACCGAGCATTTGCGCATCAGCGGCATCTACTGGGGCTTGCTGCCTCTACACTTGCTCGGCCATCCACATGCCCTCCCTCGACAAGCTCTCTTCGACTATGTCCTCGCCTGTCTGCACGACAATGGCGGCTTTTCTGCAGCCCCGGCACATGATCCCCACATGCTCTATACCTGCTCGTCGGTCCAGATACTGGCCATGATTGATGCCTTCGACGAGCTCGAGGAGAAAATGCCAAATGCCAAGATGAAGGTCGCAAAGTACATTGCACGTCTACAACAGCCCAATGGCACTTTTGCAGGAGACGAGTGGGGCGAGACGGACACGCGCTTCCTCTACTGCGCCTTAAACTCGCTCTCGCTGCTCAATCTGCTTCCCAACCAAAGGCCGAATGAGCCACCCATCATAAATCTGCAGGCGGCAGCTGACCACGTGAAAGCATGTCAGAACTTTGATGGGGGATTTGGCGTCGCTCCGGGGGCCGAATCGCACAGCGGCCAAGTCTTCACCTGCTTAGGCGCACTCACTATTGCAGGCGAAATCCACTGCCTGGGCGAGGAAGGCAAGGACCGTCTCGGCGCCTGGCTTTCTGAGCGTCAGTTACCGAGCGGTGGCTTGAACGGCAGACCCGAGAAGTTGGTCGACGTCTGCTACAGTTGGTGGGTGTTGACCGGCCTCGCCATGATAGATCGCCTTCATTGGATCGACAAGCAGAAGCTCACAGACTTCATCCTGCAGTGTCAGGACCCTGATCAAGGAGGCTTCGCGGATCGCCCCGGCGATATGGTAGATGTGTTTCATACCTGTTTTGGCACAGCCGGTTTGAGCCTGCTTGGCCATCCTGGACTCCTCGAGGTTGACCCAGCTTAGTAAGTGGGCCGGATTGACTCTCGACACTGACACCCACTGACCCTTTCATAGTTGCATGCCGAAACACATCACCGATAGACTGCTGGGACGAACAAAGTCATGAATCCGGGCTCACCATAAAAAACCCTTTCTCCCTCCCAACCGAGGAATAACGGCCTGCTTGCAGTTTGCAGGCTTCGGCACCCAAGACAAGGGCTGTAACTGAACCTTGATCCATGTATTGGCCACATGGAAACAGAACGACAGCCTTGCGGCGCCCACTTTCAGGAGTAGGGCATCCCCATAGAGGCATAATGTCCAACCCGACACCTCCGCTGCTGTACTGTAGTAGAGCTGCCTTGTACCCAACCTGGTACGCTCTCAATTGAGAAGATGCAAGACGAATGCACACGAGCCGCGGTGCTTATTATTACGCTAACAGCGCTCCTCGGGGAATGTCTAAATGTGGCATTCAGTCCAATACTTCCCAGAGATCCCAGTATCCTAAGTTCGCGCTGCAGAAATCGCTCTAGGGTAAGTCAGTATGACTTGGCGCTCTCCTTCTGTTGAACCTCCTCTCGCAATCTAATAACCCGTGTTGAGTACACTCAATGAGGCCGGGCTACAATGCGAGAGAAAAGCAAACATGAGCTCGACAATTGACCCTTCTGTTTCACATGAGCTGCGGTTGGGATACATTTCTGCTCATAACACATCCGTACTTGGCCCAACAAAATGCTGGACATGTCAGTATAGACTCTAGCAACACTCTCTCTGTGGTAGGAACAATCAACAAGAGACACCACAAAAATAGCACTGGCAATGGCGCAGCAATATCGAACAACAGACAAAATAAGTCCCTACACACAACACCATCCATTATTATTTACCCCCACCCACCTTTCCCCCCAAACCCTCCACTATCCTCGATAGCCTTATTCTCCCCCCTCCTCCTCCCCCGCTGCTGCGCAGCCTCATGTTTCCTCAACTCCTCGGGAACCCTCGAAATCGCACTCTTCGAAATCATTTGTTTGAGATCATACATGACATCCGCATCCTCATTCCCCAAAAACGTAATCGCAACACCTTGTTTACCCGCACGACCCGTACGTCCGATGCGGTGCGTATACGACTCGATATTCGTCGCCATGTTGAAATTTATCACCAAACTCACATCGGAAACATCGATACCTCGACCCGCCAAGTCGGTTGCGACGAGGACGTCGGTGGTGCCGCTGCGTAAAGAGGCCAGAGCGGCTTCTCGTTGGTCTTGGGTTTTTGAGCCGTGTAAGGTGACGGAGCTGAAGCCCATTTTTTGGACGTCGCGGGCTACGACGTCGCAGCCGCGTTTTACGTTTACGAAGATTATGATTGGGGGCTGGAATTCTCCGGAATTCAAAATCTCGTTGATGCGTTTCTTGCGCTTGTCTTCGCCTTGGATGAATTCGACGCGTTGTTCGACGGTGTCGACGGCTTCGCCGATGTTGCCGATTGTGACTTGCGCCGGGCGGCGGAGGTATTTGCGGGCGATGCGTTCGACTGCTGCGGGCATGGTGGCTGTGTACATCATGGTTTGTCTGTAGCGACCTCTTTCGCCGCCGAGATGTATCGACATGGCTGATGCGTTTTCTGCTTCGTCCGTGTCGGGCTTTTCGTTGGAGACTGGAAGCGCATCGAGGATTTTGTTGACGGGCTCTTCGAAACCCATGTCTATCATGCGATCTGCTTCGTCCATGATGACGTAGCAGCATTGCGAGAGGACCAGCACTCTTCGCTCAATACAGTCGACCAGACGTCCAGGTGTTGCAATGATGATCTCAGCACCGTCTCGCATGTTGTAGCTCTGTTCTTCAATAGCATGTCCACCCACTAGAGAAACGCAAGTGAAGCCGAGGGGCGTGGCGAATTTCTTCGCCTCAATTTCGATCTGTTGTGCAAGCTCACGAGTTGGAGCAAGAATGATGGCGTATGGACCGTCGTTCTTCGTGACTTCATTCAGGGCAGGCAATTCCGAAATGTAACAAAGCAGCGGTAAAAGGAACGCTGCAGTCTTTCCGGAACCAGTCACAGCGACACCGATCAAGTCGCGATTCTGTAGAGCAATCGGGATGGCTGCACGCTGGATAGGCGAAGGTTCCTTGTACCCGACCTGCTCAACGATATCCAATATTCGCTTCGGCAATCCAGACTCGTCCCAACGGCGCATGGGATTCGGAATAGATCCACCCTTCGTAGCAATGTTGAAATCTTCCTTGAAAATGCGCCAATCTCGTTCGCGCATGCTCTCCAACTTCTTCTCGCTCCAGTGCTTGTCGATACCGTTTCGACCGCCTTCTTCTCGACGCCTTCGTTCCATCTCTAATATCTCTGCCGCACGTTGCTTTCCAGCCTCTGGATCTCTTTCCGCAATTGCCTGGGCATATTTCCGGGCCTGGGCATCGGTCGTGTCGTCGGCGAAACCTCCCAGACGACCTCGTCCAAAGAAGTTGTTTTCGGAGCGAGTCGCATAGAGTGGATTATAATCAGGGCTGGTGTCCTCTTCAGCATTCCATTCGAAGTTGAACTTCTTCTCTGTCGTTCGCTTCCTCTTTTTCAATGCTGAGAAGGTCGATGTGTTCGTATCCGCGCCCATATAACGTTCCTTCATCAATTGGGCGACGGCATCTGTCTCATTGGTCTGCTTCGCCTTGCTCTTGCCTCCTTTCACGATAGCCACGTCCTTGGGTGGCGGAGGAGGTTTCATGTCGTAGCCCTTGTTGCGGAGATCAAGGTCGTTCCGCTCTCGTCGATCCCGGTCGCGAGGCCCACGAGGTGGCACTCCATTACGCTGTCCCTTAGGAGCTGTTGGAGCTGCATTCGAAATACTCGGTGTTTCCGGCTTCTGTGCAACAGCCTCCTCAGCCTGCTTTGCCAGCGCTGCCTCTCGCTCAGCTTTCTCCTTGGCTATTCTTTCACGCTCCTTCTTGGAGAGGAACTTGGGTTTTGCTGCAGCAGCATCTTGTGCTTTCTTCCGTGCAAGAAGTTCTTCGACACTCAAAGGCGCAGCTTTTGGCTTTTCAAGCTTTCTCTTCTTCACAGGCGGTCCAGATACTGGTGCTTGATTCAGCTCTTCTTCGGCCGGCGGGGGCGGAGGTGGAACGTCGCTACTCGGCGGAGGGGGCGGCGGTGGCACATCGCTTGGAGGCGGTGGAGGGATGTCCATCTCTACCAGACGGCAGCGCGACGTAATTGAGACTGATCACTGTATGTTAGCCTCTGGTCAAGAAACTCGAAGGGTGACTAAGCTGCATGACTCGCGTGTCAAGTCGACTCTGAATCTGGATCTTTCTCCGCCACCAACCACTTCGGTGCATGCACCATCCACTTGCAGGAAGTGTTTGCTATCCGGGGTTGCGTCAGCCCACTTCACCCCTCGCCCGCGCTCGGGGATTTAAACTATACGTAAAATCGCACTTTCTTAGTAGGCTATACGTAAATCTCGACGATAGCAATGTTGTAGAGCACATATAATAGGAAACTAAATATAAGTATAATAAGAGATAAGAGACAGTAGATTTCCGGTATATTAGTAACTAAATTGCGACCGTAGGACCTTAATCCGGCTATATAGGTAGCTTGCCTTCTCGGCATTGCAGAGTACGCGAATACTAACCTTCTTAGCCGAGCCTTAGAATAAGGTAGACGCGCTTACTAAGGATTATATAAGAAACCGGCGGTAGTAAGGTCTATAGCTACTATACACTCGGACAAGGCTATATATATAATATTTAGACTCGCGGTTCCTTACTGCACCTACTTAGATATCCGAATAGGACTAGAATATACGACTATATCGAGATTTACGTATAGCCTACTAATAAAGTGCGATTTTACGTATAGTTAAAATCCCCGCGACCGCGGGGTAAAGTCTACCTCCGTTTAGGCCTTTATATATTAAGGATTACGTTGCGCGGTAGTGAATTGGTCAGATTGTACGTAATAGATTTAAATTAGGGCTAGCTTCCGTCTTTCCGAACAACTAATTATATACTACTCTACCTAATCCTTTACCTAAAGGCCTAAAGCTAAACCGCTAATTTTTATCGTAGATTCCGCTATTAAAATACGATCTCGCTACACTAACGACAACTAGTAAATCCAATACGAGGAGGTTGTAGCCCTACTAATTGCGAGTCTAACGATCTAAAAATCTCGTATATGCGACGTATACGCGCTAAGTTATACTAATTTAGCCGAGCCTACTTCTATAGCTTTCCGCCTATCTAAACATACCGATTCTTAATATATCGCTATATACTAAGTTAACACCTAGAGGTCCTTAATTAGGGCTATCTAACTAACTTCTTCGCTATACGTACCTGCGCGCGACTTCTCGCTATCGAGTTCTCGTCTATGTCGGAAATAGCGGTAGCGGCGGCGGCGGCGGCGGCGAGGTCGAAATCTGAACCCTATTCTACGGATATACGGACCTATAGCGGAGCCTATATAACACTTAAACTCTTAGACCCTATACTACGTTTATCGATATTAGGCTATAGATTAAAGTTCTAAATGCTAAGGACTAAAGAGATAGTTTCCCCTACTAGATTAAAGCGACTATATAGGCTAAAGTATAGATTAAATAGACACGCGGAGGTTATAGAGGATACTAGAAAGGTAGACCTCCGACGATTTATTGTCGCTATAGAGTGTCGTTTATTTAATCGTAAAGCATATAGGGGTAGACAAACGAGTTAGGCGAGACTAGTAATTTATGTTTCCTAATAATAATTCTCGAATTTGTAAAGCAATAGTATTATTAAAATAGCGGATATCCTTAATTACTGAATTATCTAGGAACCGTCTCTATAAAGTACTATACTATAGGTAATAGTTGTTGCGGTATTCGAGCTAATATATATATGCTAGTAGGTAGATAGGCGAGCCTATACCCGCCTAGAACGGTTTGTCGTTAGGCGCTTCGCTAGAATGAGATCTCGAATAGCGCTAAACCTAATGTAGTATAGTATAGAAATAGAAGTTACGAGCAGCACACATACACGAATTTAACTACGAAGCGCCTAAATAGAGGTAGGGATAAAGTGTAACTAACGAAACCCCGGATACGCGTAGCAATAAGGTATGTAAGCGATTTATTAACCTCCTACTACTAACCTTCGCCGCTAAGCACATATTACCGTCGCCGCCCCCTAACCCTCTTCGGCTTATAACGGCAGCAATATGCCTTAGAAGTATCGGTACGCTAGATGCTGCGCCGACTGTTATAATATTGCTTTTTGCTCCTCTACGCGCCAAATTTCGCTCTCTAGCCTCTTACTGCCTCCTTCTTAGGCTATTTTCGCTTTATGCTCGTAACTTCCTTTATCTTATTTCTACGTGCACCGGATCTCGGGTCTTCTTAATATAGTATAGTATAGAAGGAAGAGCGAGCCTTAGCGAAGCGCCTAAAGACAAACTGCACTAATCGGGCGATTCCTTGCTTGCAATACCTCCTTATAGACTATATATAGATTTACAACTTAATATATAGCATAGATAGGGCTTAGTATATATAGAGGGGGTTCTATAGTATAGGAAGGCGCAACACATCGTAGATATTTTAAAATTAGTATCGTAAAAGTGAGATCTATAGTCTATTCTAACTATATAGACAGTTTCGGCTTCCTGTTTGTTCTACGAATACCTATATCGCGATAGACAATAACTATCTTCTAGAACACTCTATCTATACGAGGAACCTTAGAAAGCAATGCTCTAACACCTCTAAGTGTCGCTTTGCCCGTGTTTGCTATTATTTACTTGTACTCGCTACCTGTCGGTGCCTACCCTTAAAATAGCTATCTCGCTAACTTATCCGCACCTCGATACCTATACGTATACCTAGCAACCTAAAACTTCTTAGACACTTTTAAGACATATCCGCGATCGTGTTTAACGTTATGCGCTGCCGGAAACCCTAGTATTTAGTGCCTCTATATCGCATCTAGCGCATTAGCTGTCCTATATACTGCCGCGATACCGACACTCGAGCGCCGAGACCTACTATTCTAAATAGCACGGATATCCGCTCCGCAGTCTTTGCTACTTCTTAAAGTCGTATACGCTACTGCTTAATAGACTCCGACTATTAAATCTAACACTCGATACTCGATACCTACTCTTCCGATATCTTCTATATCTACTACGACAACGCTTCTACTAACACTTCTGCTAAAACTTCCGCTAATACTTCCTATAGTATATAATAGGCGACCGCAATGCCTAACGCGCTCTCTAACCTATTTACGCGCGATCGCGACAAGGCTAAGAAGGGTAGACTTAATATCGGCGATACTAGCGCTAGCGCTAGCGCTAGCGCTAGCAATTAGCGTAGGAAGGAAGGCGACTAATACTTCGTCCGCCTACCTAGTCGACTAGCAATTAATTATACAGAACCTTAATAGACTATCGAGCGTAAGCTAGAGATACCTACTAATCTAGACGAGGCTAATAAGGCTAGCTAGATAGCCTACTTCGAGGAGCGCTATATTAATATAGACGAGTATAGCCTCGAGGAAGTATAGCTACTTATATAGGATACTAGTAGCAATTAATAGGCGATGCTATTCTATCGTCGCATTATCGAGCATAGTCTATAGCGTATACTAAAGCTAATGCATCCTTATCGCGAGCTATTACTAGAACCGACTAAGATGCAGCTCGACTACGTCTATACTATTATCTTTAGGAGATAGGATGTGTTGCTTTTAGCTCGTACTAGCGCTAGCAAAACGATCATTTTCTAGGCCTATACTATACTTACTAGTTTCGTTATATTGCAAATCGTACTACTTATACGTATCGCTAATAAGTAGAGCGAGGATATAGTAGCCGCTATCCGCTAGTTAGATAAGGAAGAATAGGATCTAATTAAGGTCTGTATTATTACTACCTAAACAAAGGAGAAGGATCTATCTATGTTTACTAATATTAAAGAAGGCCGATACTAGTATATTATCTGCAGTCCCGAGCAAGCAATAAGCACTGAATTCTAGGAAGTCCTACGTGCTATCTCGGATCGTCTTAGCCTCTAGGTATAGGACGAGGCGTATATGTATCTAAAGTAGAAGGATTTCCGGCTAGATTATAGCGTGCTTTACCTCCTTCGCTAGCTTATAATATAGGATATAACTATTCTCGCCTGCTCTACGATATTAACGAAGGAAACTAAGAAGTATGTACTTTAGTACGGCCTCCGTCTATAAGGCGATAGCGCATTCGAAACCTAGGTTATCTAGAGCACTATCGATCGTCTAGATACTAAGTATATCTTATAAACGATGCCTTAGGGCTAGATAACAGGGTTCGACTACCTATACTTCGTACTTAAGTATATAGTAGACGCCGATAGCTTAGCGGTACTATAGAATATCTAGAAAACTATTATCTTTATCGATAGTCGTAAGCAGATCGACAAGGCTCGCGTTACGATGTACTAGTAGCTTGTACTCTTAACTAGTAATATTAATAAGGACTCGCCGGCTAAGTAGCATTCTCGGAAGTATACCTAGGATAGAGAGCCGGTAGTACCTAGTAGCTATAGGACTATCTATGTGCTCGGCGTTGTCTCTTTCTATACTACGCATATCGCCGACATTAATAAGGACAAGCGGTACAAGGAATTTAAGAAGCCTAAGTCTTAAATCCGTATCCTGTTCGGCACTCTAGCGACTTCTACTAGCGTTAACGTACTAGATGTCGGCTTAGTAATCTAGATTAAGCTTCTAATTACTAAGGATATCGACGATCTAATATAGAAGTTTAGTCGTACGGCTCGCATTCCTAGTATAGAGGCATTAGCAGTTATGTTCGCACTATATTAGTTAAATAATATAGAGAAGCGTATACTATACGGTTCTAACTACCGCTCGATAGTTCTACGAGACCCGACAGCAGCTAGCGCTAGTGTCGCTAGTGTCGCTAGTGCTAGGCTATACCAAGTATAGGATTATATTCTAGTACGACTATCTAATCTACGATATGCTACTATTCCTAGTAAGGAATTCGACGTCGATAAGTCTATCTTCGATGCGTATAGCTAGGATAGAGACGAGGAAGACGAGGATGCTATTATAACCGATCTACTAGCAGTGTCTATACCGCCTCGTCCTATTCGAACTACTAGCTACCCCTTTTATAATGCTATCGTAACAGCAATCGCCGAGAACGCGACTAAGAAGTCCTAGTCTACTAAAGAGATAGGCTAGCGTAATAACATACTAGACATCTAGTTATAGTTATAAAATACGCACTACTACCCGAACCTAGAATATCGCCGCTACTTTCGTAATATAATCTTAGAGATATATAGCGAATACGAGTGTACGTACAGTGTTAACAAGGTCGTAGTAGGCACTGCCGATTGCTATAGTATATATAATCTAGACCTGCTAGATCGACTAGTCTAGGAGGGCTATACTGCTCTAGTAGTTCTAAAGCTACTAACGGCTCCTAATGTTAGATCAACCTAGCACTATACTCTCCTATTCCTCGAGAGCTTCGTATCTAATATCGTAGAACAGATCTTTCTAGACTAGTACGATAATCGCCTCTTCGGGGTTATCCTATCGACCTTCTTAGTACCCGAGCCTATTCTATAGGATCTATGTAATGTCTTTAGTGCTAAGTACGGCCGGACCGAGAATGCATTTCGAACCTATACCTCTAGTAAGGACTACGATACCCTAATTGAAGAGGCGGACATCTAGGAGCGGGCTATAGAGTTCTATACCTAGTATTAAGCGGAGGCTAATAACCTTCGAGAGATCTAGATAGAAGAAGACCTCCTACTAGAGCTGAATCGCATTATCTTTAGCGTATTTGCTAAGTATAATATATTCGTTAGAAACAGAGATGCCGAGAAGAAGAAGAAGGCCGAAGAAGCTACTGCTACTACTACTACCGCCGCCGTAACTCGGACAAGCTAACCTGTCGCTAATCGGCCTACTAACTAATAACAGCGCCGTAAGCAGCTATAGAAGAATATACAGAACTCTGCCCGCTCTACTATCGAGGCTCGTAAGAGGATAGTAGTAAGGAACACTAGAGGCATATAGGATCTAGATTATAAGGAAACCGCGCGTCGCTAAGTAGTAGGAGGCAGCTAAGCAGGGGATAGTAATAGTGGATCAAGCCGTCGGTTAGGCCGTAGCCGTATACTATCGGCTCGAGAGAGAGAGCGTAGGCGTAAGGCTAGCTAGTAGGAAGGTAACGATATAGAAGACTTGCTAATGTTTAGTATATAATATTCTACGAGAGCATGCCTAGTTAAGCTGCTTCTACGAGAGCTAGCGCTAGAATTGGCCGCTAGAATTAGCACTAGAATTGGCGCTAGAATTGGTACTAGAGCAATTAGCGGTAAAATGGCACTAGAATTGGCACTAGAATTAGTACTGGAATTGGCACTAGAATTAGCACTAGAATTAGCACTAGAATTGGCATTTAATAAGGCTTCTATTATGTCCTTGTAAGCTCGCTAAGTCCTTGTCCTATCCCCGGAAAAGTAAGCCGTAACACTACGCTCGATCGCGTTGCTTCTACGAGAGCTAGTTAAGTTGCTTCTACGAGAGCTAGCGTATAATACTCCTACGAGAGCCGGCGTATAATATAGGATGCCTAGTTAAGTTACTTCTACGAGAGCCGGTATATAATGTAGGATGCCTAGTTTAGCTGCTTCTACGAGAGCTAGCCTAGTTTAGCTGCTTCTGCGAGAGCTAGCCTAGCGTGTAATATAGGATGCCTAGTTGAGTTGCTTCTACGAGAGCTAGCGCTAGAATTGGCGCTAGAATTGGCATTTAATAAGGTCCTTCCTTACTACCCTTCTATTATATCCTTATAAGCTCGCTAAGCAGGCTCTTCTATTATGTCCTCGTAAGCTCGCTAAGCAGGCTCTTCTATTATGTCCTCGTAAGCTCGCTAAGTAGGCTCTTCTATCGTGTCCTTATAAGCTCGCTAAGTAGGCTTTTCTATTGTGTTCTTTGCGACGAGGGTTTGTAGATAGTCGTAGGTGTCGATAGTCGTATATGTCGATAGTATATAAGAGCTAGGCGAGAAGCGTAAATTCGAGGAAGCGATAAGGATGCTAAGTCCCGCTAAGACCCCGGATTTAGTATAGCAGAGCGCTTAATTAGTAGGATTAAACGTTATAGCTGCTTCCTTCCGCGCATTTACAATACCGACTTTACGACTTTTACGACTTTTATAATAGTATATTACTAATATAGCGAGATACGCCAATTGCGCGCATTTCTAGTAAATAGCGCTAACAAAAGTGTCTAACACGATAACGACGGCCGCCTTAGGCACTAAGAACCGCCTCCGAAACCCGAGAAGTTACTAATACTAGCGAGAAGTTACTAGCGAGACTAGCGAGACTAGCACTATACTCATTACACCGCAGCTATTAGCACTACAATATGTACGGTAAGGATAGATACGTAGGGCGATAATATATATCGAGCGCAAGCACTCTTCGAGAAGCTACGACAGCCCTCTTACGTTAACGCCCTCTATTGCTTAGACTCTCCCTAGAACGATTATTCCGATAACTAGTTACTATATAAGGCAGAGAAAACGAATAGTAGCGTCCGGGGATCTAATTAACTAGCGGTACTAAGCGGCTATAGAAGTACACACTCCGAAGCACACTAGCATTATATATAGCCTATATACTACGCGCAATGCGCAACAATTAACGCATTCTATTACTAACTATAGCACGCATAGCCGAAGACAAGGTATATAGGACGGGACTTATTAAGCGAAACAATAACAGCTTATTCGCTAAAGCGACACTTATTAGTACCTAGACAACAATAGAGTGTAACCGCGCCCTTAGTGTTAGAGATACCGCAGAAAAGGGTTGTCGAGCGCGTTACAGTCGTATAGCAATGTTAATACGCTTACTAGAAGAGGAGGCGTACTACAGTCGGATAATAGTCTTAATACGCTTTCGATCGGTTCGGTTTAGTGCGCACTGCAGTCGAATAGTAGTCTTAATACGCAAAGGGCTGCAGTCGTATAGCAGTACTATAGTCGTATAGCAGTAAAGACTAAGACTAAGCGCCTTCGGGCTTAAGTATACTAGAGGCCCTTACGTAACAAGGTTATTATAACTAACAGTCCTAACGAAGGCGTTACGCCGACTTAACTAGATGCGCGTATGTTATCCTATAAAGAATCCGAACGTAGGAAGCCTATAGCCGCTACTTAAGGTGTATCTTACTAAAGAGTTTTTACCGAGTTAGGCCTAGCCGCTACTTAAGGTATACCTTACTAAAGAGTTTTTACCGAGTTAGACCTATAGTAATGCTACGAACCTATTAACCCACTCTGTCTATTAACCTACTTAGTCTATTAACCTACTTAGTAGGAGAGTCGCTATCGAGCCGCTACTTAAGGTATACTTTACTAAAGAGTTTTTACCGAGTTAGACCGTTAGCCGCATTATAGGTATACCTTACTAAAGAGTTTTTACCTCCGCTAATCTATCCGAGACCCGCAGTTTGTTATACTAAGACAAGACTGCGATGTTCTAACAAAAACTATGCTCTTTCGGTTAAATACGTAGTCGACGCCCGCTAAAGCTATAGAAAACAACCTACTCGCTAGGAGAGTCGCCTTCGTAACGTCTTGCTCGGTAAAGCCTATCGGAGACCTTAAAAGAAGGACTAAACAAACTCTACCGATCGAGGAACCTCAACTATTAGATAAGCGGCTCTATCGGTAGCAAGCCGCAGAACTAGTAAGAAATAGTGTTAATCGCTATAGAGCTACCTATATACGACAAAGAGGTATCGACACTGTTGCTAAGAAGCCGATAGCTAGTATATTGCTAGGGGTGTTAGTGTGTTAGTATGTGTAGAAGAAGAAGAAGAAGAAGTTAAACTAGGAAGCGTAGGTCTATATTAGCGCATCGTAGGTAAGGTTTGCCTCTACTAATAGGATTGCGCTATTTAGCTACAATAGCAAGGCAATAATAACGGCTATATATTATCGCACTTTTAACGCAACGTAATAGCCGCCGACTGCTAGTCGAATGCCTAAGGCTAGAATTGCTACTAGTTCTCGAAATTACCGGAGGCCTCCTTTAGCATTAGGCGCTCTGAATTTATATAGGAACCAAGTCTAAAGGCACGCACTCTAGTCTACCGCTACTACTTCGCTACTAGGCGCGCACTCTAGTCTACCGCTACTCCTTCGCTACTAGGCACGCACTCTGGTCTACGGAGCTATTAGCTATTAAGCTATCCTTGTACGCCTAGCCTAGCTAGCTATCAAGCCATTATCGTACGCCTAGCTAAACCCTTCGTAGCTAGCTATTAAGCTATTATCGTACGCATAGCCTAGCTAGCTATTAAGCCATTATCGTACGCCTAGCTAAACCCTTCGTAGCTAGCTATTAAGCAATTATCGTACGCCTAGCCTAGCTAGCTATTAAGCAATTATCGTACGCCTAGCCTAGCTAGCTATTAAGCAATTATCGTACGCCTAGCCTAGCTAGCTATTAAGCAATTATCGTACGCCTAGCCTAGCTAGCTATTAAGCAATTATCGTACGCCTAGCCTAGCTAGCTATTAAGCTATTATCGTACGTATAGCCTAGCTAGCTATTAAGCTATTATCGTACGCCTAGCCTAGCCTAGCTAGCTATTAAGCTATTATCGTACGCCTAGCTAAACCCTTCGACTTTATAAACACTCCTAACGAAGTACGCACTCTAGTCTACCGCTACTACTTCGCCGCTAACTACCTAGTTAACGGGGCTATCGTTGTCGACGGCAAGCGCACTTAGAAGATAAAGCTAGTACCTAAGAGATAAAGCTAGTAAGGAAGGCCTAAATAGTAGATATAGCAGGTTAGATTACTATAAACGAATACAAAAGCTAGATTTATTCAATCCTTAATCGCTATAACCGCTACTATTACCTATTGCTATTATAAGAGCCTTTAGGGACTACTAGTTAGATCTACTATATCTAGGTCTAGGTTAGTAAAGCCCTTAGCGTCGACGTATAGCTAGTATATAGCAGCTATAGCATTATCGACAATGCCTACTTGTATAGGTCTACGCTAAGCGCTACTATCGATACGCTCTCTCGTATCGGCGCCGTCGATACTGTCTATACTATTAGCAGCTATATCGGGAGCGCTACGGGTTATACTATTCAATAGACGCTAATTAATATTGTTAAGCTATTCGTATATACTAGGTATAAGCGCTGCCCCGATCTGCTAGATATTATTAGATATAGGGCGTAGATCTAGCTTCGGCTCCTCGATCGGATCGGTCTATAGAGCGTCGTACTTCTATAGTACTATATCGCCCTCCTAGTACTTCTTAATCGCTCTAGCCTACACTTCCTTAGCGGTATCCTTCTCGGTGTAGTACCTAGTGCCCTTTAGTCTAATGCTCTCGAACAAATCGCGTACTACTTATAATACTTTACGGTTCTACGAAATTAGTTCCATTATAGTAGAGACGTTATAGGTAGAGTTACTACGAGCCTAAATGTCGAGCTTGTAATCCTTATTATGCAGCTTAAGCATCTTATTAGTAGCAACGCCCTTGCTATTACCGAGATTAACGATAGCCGAATCTAGGATAGCCTCCTATAGGATAGGATTAGACGTATTTAGCATCTACGAAAGGTTTACTATCTCCCGCCTATAGTTCAGTTGTCGGGCACTAAAGAAGTTTGGGATTAAGTAGTCGACTATACGGCGCAGGTATCTAAGGTCTATCTTCCGGATAGCGATATATATAGTTAAGAAGTTCTCGATCTCTTATAGTAGGCGGGCTATTATAGTATACGATAGGTCGTCTATTTCGGCATCCTTATTAAGTCTAATCTAGGCGCTCTATATAAAGAGCTTCTAGTAAATAGCCTCTATAATATCGATATACTATCTCGGTATAAGATAGTCTTTAATTAGAGCCTTTACTACCTAGATCCGATTTATGCCTACGAACTAAGAGGCATCGAACCGAAAGCCGAGCTGCTCGTCGGCTTCCTAGATAAATTCTATACTAATATATATACGAAATGCTACGAACACTACCTATCGAGCGATGTAGTACTCTAGCTTATCGTTATTAAAGCGGCGGATAGTATAGTACTCGGCGATAGCCTTAAGTATATATACTAAGTGCTTGCCTGCCCTATTAGTATTGTAGTAGGTCCGTAGAGTAGTATAGCAGGCATTTATCTTAATATAGAAGAAGGCCGGGATACCGACGATAAAGTCCTTTCTGTTATATATACGAGTACTTTCGACACTACCGAGCTTAACACTACGGATACGATCGACCGTTATCTAGTCGCCGATAACGATAATAAGCTAGTCCTAGAACTCCTCGTTGTCTAGATTAAGCTTTAAGAACTTCTAGAAGATATCGTTATAGACCTAGTACGTATCTTCGATCGAGGCCTTATTATAATCAGATACTAGCAGCGAGATTACTAAGGTCTTCCTACCCTGCTTATTCTTAATCTTAATCGTACGCTATAGAAAGCGCTTAGTCGGACTGCCGCCGCGAATGCGATCGTCTATATCGGGACCCTTAAAGTCGTACTCCTCGAACAGATACTATAGCTTATCGCTAGCAAGGAATCCTATAGCCTAGTCGATATAGTATAGGGAGGTCGCCTTCTTATACCTATCGGCGCAGATCTTGCGGAGGATAATCCGAGGGTTTATCTTCTTCTTAAGCTTTAGCATATACTTCTTTAGACCCTTCTAGACGGCTTAATGCCTAGCGATATACGAGGTTGTTATATTGCGCTACTTAGTATTGCGACCGGTTGTCTAGATAGCTTTGCGGTACTCCTAGATATAGAAGTTGTCGTATACGATTATATATCCACCCTTAATAAATATCTTAACTACCCGTTCTTAGTTAGTACGAGCAGTCTTCCTCGCTAGCCGCTATAGTATACGATAGGCAGGACAAAGACCTATTGCACTAAGGATATCGACGACTCGTCGCTTAATACTACTAGTATATAGGAACAGCCTAAAGGACTTACTAAACTAGGATGCCTTCTTTAGCGAAATCGAGCGAGCAACTACCTACGTAATCGTAGCGATACGCTTCTTCTAGCGGCTATATTTGTCTCGGATACTAGGTTAATCTTCCTTAGCGATATCTTTAGCGGTATAGCGCTTATTAGGAAGTAAACCCTATAGGACACTATACTAAGTTAGCGCTATATCTTTAATGACTTTGTCTATCTTACTTAGCTTCTCTTGTCTATCGATAGTAGAGTCTAGATCGTACTAGTTAAAGAATTTCTTACTAACGAGCCTCTTTAACTTAGAACGGAGCCTACGAGTACTTACAAGATCCTCGAATAAGAAGACATCGATAATCTTATCGATACGACGGCGCTATGTCTTTGTTCCTAGATCTCCTACCTACATTAAGAGCAGCTTTAGCGTAGTAAGGTACTCGTAGTTTAGTAGGTCTATAACGTTAGTATACTTCTGCGGTAGACTCTTTAGGCTCTTACGCTTCTTCTTCTTCTTAGCTACTAAACTAGCAGGAAACTAGCGCTTCCGTACGGTACTAGGGCGAGTAGTACCGACAATCTAAGGCTCGATATTATTATTATCTAAGAAGTCTCCTTTATCTTCTAGTCGAAAGAACTAGCTACCTTTAGTACTAGCGGCTTTAGCCTCGACCTTATTATCGCTTATCTTATTATCCTAATCCTTAGTCTCGTAATTATCTTTATCTGTTTCCTCCTCTTTATCCTCGATAATAGATAGCGCGACGTTAGCGCGTAGACCTATATAGCGCTCTTAGCGGGTTAGAATAGGCGCTAACGGAAGACCTTATTCTACTACTATGTCTGCAAGCTAGTCTAATAGCAGCGCTAAGAGCTCGCTTGTCTCTACGAGGCCGTGTTCTACTAGGCCGTATTCTGCGAGGCTATATTCTATAAGGCTATATTCTGCTACTATGTCTGCAAGCTAGTCTAATAGCAGCGCTAAGCCGAGCTCGCTTATATCGAATATATTATATTACTATAGTAGCATAGGTAAGCTAGAAGGCTCTGTTAGCAGCGGCTTATCGTCTATATCGGCTATAATAGTGTCGCTATCGTCCGACATTGTCGCTAGATTAAGTGCTAGATTGAGTACTAGATTAAGTGCTAGATTGTTGCGACTAGATTAATAGCGACGGCGTCGAAGGAACAGGTTGTAATAGAAGCGACTAGTGCCTACGAGCGACGCGTTATAAGCAAATATATAAAGACGCACGGACTAGAAACATATATAAAGTCGACAAAGCTAGGCCTTAGTATATAGTAAGAAGTAACCTCCGCTCTTTAGATATAATATAATACTACGGTATCGTACAGATATATACTAAACGGGGATTATTATAGAATTAGCACCGCTAGGACCTCCGGGTATTTCTATGTTATATAGGCTGTATCTTAAAATAGGTGTTTTTAGTAAGACTAAGTCTATTACTAAAGCCGGCTTTTAGCTAGGCAGTACCGTCGGCTTATAAGCTATAACATAACAACCTAACGTCGCATTAATGTAATTTTTGGATAGAATAATATCTGATTGCCTACTCTACGCCCGCATTACAAAATATTAATATATATCGCGTTGTATGCAAAGTCGCAAAATGGGGATCTTGAATCTGACCCGATCGCTAGTTTTGCTGTCAGACCCTTGCTACGCAAGGGGTTTATAAATAAACCGGTGGCTCGTGCGCTCTTAGCAAGGGTCTGATGGGAGATAGGCCTCTCACGCTGCTCGAATCGGCCAACTCTCAACAGCACTCTGCCGATATTCTGGACGTCACTGAACGCACCTATGGGGTGTCTCGAGCGACCGCGGAAGCCTCTATCTTAGATGTAACCATTTCGTACTCTCTCTACTGGCGCCCGCCACTTTTGTATTACACTCACTTCGTACTCAAATCTTTCCCATGTCTCCTTTTTGAGCATTCTTCAGCTTATATTCTCCTGCGCCCCTTCCAGTCCTGTCAGCACACCTGATTGTCTCATTCTCAGTCACGCGACAACGTTGGGAGGAACGCCTGTCAGCCGTGACCTTCTACATCATATGTATGCCCGTGGAATTCTTGTGCCAGGAACAAAAGACAAAAGATCGACACACCTTGGTTGCTCCCATCAAAGTACGATTTACTGTAGCGACAGAACACATCATTCAAGATGCTTCCAACGACTCTGCTAGAAGTCCTTCTAGTGTTTGCGACACTTGGCGCCTGCGAACCACGGAGGGCGTTCACACATTGGGACCCCAATTGGGACTCTGAAAATCACTCACCACATGAGACGCTCGACGCTCGCAAGTTCTTGACCCGCAATGTTATCGAAGAGCGAGACGCGCACAAGGCATTTACAGGGTGGAAGAACCCGCACCGGAAGCCTTTCACAGCGCCACCACAAATCACAGGCACGCCTTTAGAAACAGAGGCTCAATATACTAGACCAGTCATTGTAGCGTGAGTTGCCGAGATCTGGCTAACTTTTCTATTGCATCTACTGATTTTGGCAGCACAACACTATTGACAGAAATCTACAAAGAGCGATGAGAGCGACGTCTTTGGCGCGATTGATCAACCTCGACTTTTCGGTGGCTTCAAGCAGACCCAATGGTTCAAAGAGAACAAGACCCCATTTGGACTTCTCGAGGACGACCGCAGGAACAGCAGACCAGTAGATATGGCTATCAGAGCAATATGCTTGTACAAAAATCGACGAGGATGCAGAAAGATACCCAGGAAATGCGGATATTTGCACGAGCATGAAGTAAGCTTAATGCTGATTGTCTGAAATAGATCTTATCATTACCACATCATGTGCAACCACACTTTACTTTACAACGCCGTTCACATGATGCACAGCAATGCCCCTTCGTCCACGTCTGACGCTCATCTTCAGCCACAACTATCGCCCGCAGATACATCCAGGCTTTGCGATCTACTTCGAATTCCGCTCGCTGCGCGAGGCTGTAGGCGTTGACAAGGATCCTTGATCAGCCTTTCTACCTACCCCGGTCCACCTTCATGCGGGCATGCCCGAAACTGCATATGATGACCAGATGCATGAATACGCCTGGTCGTCTTCAACCAGCGTCCAACTTTGCTTGCTCCGAGCATCGCCTTTTTCAACAACCTGGTTGACGGCGCCTTACACATGTGCCACATCAGCATGATGACGATTTGAATTGGTAATCCGAACCAAATACGCAGCAATCGCTACTCCATCAGGTCTGCACATCACGAGGAGCGAGCACCTACAGCAGTGACAAGAACCAAGTCAGCTCTGTGAGCCTCTCTTGCAGGTCTTACCTTCTATGCAACGCCGGCCATTTTTGATGAGCATTTCCTGAGCATTGTTTCGGCGAGCGTGCAACACATCTGACTGTGCTGGAGACACAGCAACGCGACGACTGAGTTTGCATATCCTCTAAGCAAAGGACGTCTTAAATCTTACGAGTAGAACATCACACGTTGCGTACATGTTATCGGCCCAACTTGCAGGCACGGTAACTGTAAGCACTCCCAAGAAAGCGCTTACAGTATCTCCGTCTGAGCGGGAGGGGATGTAGGAGGCATTGGCACTGCACTTCTAGACTTCCGCTTGATGGAGGGGGAGGGGTATCGATAAATATGGCGACGTCACTTGCACATCCATAGTAAGGTGACAGATCAATTAACTTTTCACGATGCAGCACAACTTCTTCCTCTCAATCTCTCTCCCGACTGACTTGACTTCGATATCAATACCGCAATCATGTCCGACTCGAAACAGTCAGCTGCGGAGCAAATCTCCAATATGGAAAAACTCACCCACAGGACACTCATCACATCGCCAGAGAATCTCCAATACTCCTACTACCTCTCTCCGGACTTCAACGACAAGCTGAAAGAGAATGTTCCAACACTGATGTTTCTTCACGGCTATCCAGACGATGCATACATGTGGGCAGGCGCGGTACCAACCTTCCTCTCCCTCCGCTACCCCTTCATAATCATCGACCTCCTCGGTTTCGGCGACTCCTCCAAACCCATCGACACAAAACTCTACAACTACAAAACCCAATCCACCAGCATCTCCCAAATCCTCGATCTCGAAAAAGTCCCCAACAACATCATCCCCATAGGCCACGACTGGGGCTCCGCAACCTCCCAACGCTTTTATCTCTACAACAAACACCGCTGCATCGGCCTTTCCCTCCTCTCTCTCGCCTACCAAATCCCTTCCCCCAACCCTTTCAACCTAACCTCCGCCAACGAAGAAACTTCCCAACGTTTCGGCTACCCGCAATGGGAATACTGGAATTTCTTCACGCATCCCGACGCTGCGAACCTCATGCGGAAAAATATCGAAAGATTCTATGAAGTCAATCATGGAAACTTCATCGATGAAAACTCCGGGAGAGATGTTTGGATGCGAGAAATGTTTTGTTCTCCGCACGCCATGTATGATTATGTGACGCAAACCGGAACTTGGAAGGATCGAATCGTGGAATTAAAGCCTTATGCTCGTGATCCGGAGCTTTTCGCTCGGTTTAAGGAGAGGATGACGAGGGATGGGTTTGAGGGGCCGGTGCAGTATTATCATTCTTTGAAGGATAATTCTATGATTGAAGATGAGAGGGCGATTCTTGAGGAGGAGGATGGGGCGAGAATTGAGGTTCCGGTGCTGTATATTGGGCAAACCGGGGATTGGGTTTGTAGGACTGATTTGATGGATGATGCGAAGAAAGCTGGGTTGGTGCGGGATTTGGAGGAGAGGGTTGTTGAGGCGGGTCATTGGGTTCTTTATGAGAAACCGCTCGAGATTGCGGGGATTCTTGAGGAGTGGTTGGGGAGGAGGTTTGGGTGAAGTGAATTGAATGGGAGAAGTGAAGGAGGAGTGCCTAGGTTGCTGGATTCTTCTAGCTACCAACTCAGCGTGCACCTGTATCTCAGTAGTCGTTTGCCACGTGGAAGCAGTCCTACAGTGTGAGTAGTCAGGCTGTCACAAACAACCGATTTCCTATTGAGTAAGAAGAGGAGGTCGTGGGTAAATCGTTCCATGCCATGGGAGTAAGGTAGCTTCCAGCTTGATGCCAACGGAAGCGAGTTCGACAGTTGTATATATTTGAACCACGCAAGATTATCAATATCATTACAAGACTTAACATTCTGGGTCTCATACGAAAAAATTCTGCATAAGCGTACGTCCAGAGATAAATTGCATGACTTCACAAACCACCATACCTGTCGATGGAGAAAGGTGAGGAAGTTTACTTCGTCGCGGTCTTCGGAGAGAATTCACAATGCCGAGACGTACGAGGCCGGCAAGGGTTTCTTTGTGGTTGATTGGGAGTCACGATGCAGATTTCGACGGGCTTGGTCTGAGAAGGGAGTGAGGTTGGTGGTTGGGTTTTGCGTAGGAGTACGATTGGAGCTGTGCGCTCGAAGTTTATGTCTCTTTATAATACGACCAGATTCGAGACAGAGCTGCTTTCTTGTATCGTGCAGCTGCGAGCTTTGCTATAGTCACCTGTGAATTTGTAAGCATTCGTGCCAGTCGTCATGATGGTGGCCTTTTTCCAGCCAGCTGAGATGCTTTTGATCCTAGATCTGCGCTTACTTTTGGAGGGTGTGGGCTTCATGCCATGTCTTTAACATGTGAAATCAATGATATGGTGAAGAGAATTCCTGGAAGGAGATTGAGGATTGCAGCACTGATATGTACCTGCCGCTTTTATGGACTTTGAACCTACCATTTCTGCGGCCTGTTTACCATCTTATACTTCAAGCTCGTTACCATTTCACATCAGTGAGCAGCCGACTCCATACATGGCAGACTCCACATATGCCTTCACAAGATACCAATCAGCCCTGCGTTCAGCAAACTCATACACTTCCTCGGTTGGGAAAATGCCGTGATAGCGCTGCGAGTCCGCAATGATAGTCGCCAACTCCTTCGCTTGCTTGGCTGTAATCGTCTCTTTGGTTGACAGTAGGCTTGCTCGCTTGTTCTTTGGACCCCCGAAATATGACCCCGGCGGGTCGATATAGACTAGGTAGATCTGTGACAACTCGCGAAGTGCTTCGTAGTAGGGCAGCAGCGACTTTTGTCGAAGCGTAGATACGTATGAGTGGTAATGGTTGATGTCGCTGATGAGCTTGATGGCGCCATCCACACTTATGCGCTGCCGCCTGAAGTGCTTGCACAGGGCCGTGAACAGCCGCAAGCCCACTTCTTGATTGAAGACATCCAGCATATTCTTTTCGGTACTACCCACAAGCATGCCAGTGTGTCCGCTAACCATATCGACAATCTGCTTGGCTGTGGTGCTGGGTCCGATGTCCACGATACCTGGAGAGCCGGGATTGAAATCGGTGGGTGTCTGTGTAGTTGCACAGATGTATTCGACCTCGTCCATGAGTACATCTATACCTTTGTTCAGACCAGCAGCCACTCGTTCGTCCAGCATCTGCTCAAACTTCTTCTTGTCCTTGACTGCCGGGTTAAGGAAGTCGTCAGAGTCCAGGAGCTTAGTAGCAACGAGTTCTTGGGAATAGAAAACGTCGATCATTTGCTGAATGAGGTCACCCACATTGACCAGCTCTAAAAAAGTCACCAATGGTTCCACACCAACATGGGCGCTGTGACTAGCCGTCTGAGTCTCGGACTCTTGCTGATTTTGCTTGAATTTCCGAGGATTGTATTGACCGAGATGTCCGAGGGCCTTGTCAAAGCCATTCTTAATGTGCCGATTGCCAAGGATATCTAGCATCGTCGTGAAGATGGCATTGCATTGCTTCTTTGCTTCTTCGCCGTCCTCACCACCTATTTGGACCATTAAAGATGTTCGCTCAATCGAGGCTTTGGCGAGATGCGTCAGGTTAAGAGCAACTTCAATACTGAACAGCGACTTGATGCCCTCCAGTCTGGAGTTCAAGATGGCGGTCTTGGCGGCCAGCTCAGTGGTTGGTGCTTCTTGAGCAGGTGTTGACGGTCTATTTGGTGATGTTCCTGCGCCTGACAAATTCGGCGTCCCAGGTCTGCCACCAGTGTACGGTGTGTCGACTGTGTTCAAGTTGGCCGATGATCTCGATACAACGCTGTCAGGAGGTTTTGCAGACGCGAATGGCGCACCGATAACATTGACCGGCATCATGACCACCTTTTTGAAGGATGACAGAAAGTCACGCTTCGCAGCTTGTCGGTTAAGGTTTGACATGAAGAACGCCTCTGTAGTCGCTTCTTGTTCAGAGAGCTCCTTCTCCCACTGACTTACACCGGCTTCGGCTTTGCTCCGAAAGACATCATATTCTTCTGCCAAGTAAAGTCCGACATGCTTGTCGAAGCATTGCGTTATGGTCTTCTTGGCCGTATCGAGAAAATCTGGCGGGGAAGCTTTGGTTGGCTTCAGCGATGCTACCAAGCGGAGTGCTTGGGCAAGAGTTCCAGCTACTGCCTTCACATAAGTCTCAAGGTCCTTACTGTGCGCTTCATCGAAAAGTGCTGTCAAGTAGTCGGAGATTATCTGTTCGCATATGCGGTGGAAGAAAATCGTGAGAACGTCGAGCGATGGCGGAAAGACTTGGTCGATTATCTCGGCTTGTCGTAACAAAACGTTGGCCAATTGCTCGAAGTATCGCTGCGATGCGTTCAGGTCAACATGTCCGGGAGCACAGCCCTCCAGGCAGTCCGAAGCCTTAGGCAGTCGCATAGCCCGAGTCAATAAAGGATGATTAGAAATGAATGCATCGACGACAGCCGATCCTCCATTGAGTGTGATCAGGACATGCGCATAACGATGCATCCTTCCTGTGGCATCTCCAGCTATGTAGCCTTGGTCAAACTCCCTCAGCACGGCATTCTCGAAGACGCCTATCATGGAGTCAAGTCTTTCTTCGCGCTGTTCGCAGCCTGCGCTTAGATCACATTTCGAGAATCGCTTCAGATTACTGAGGATTTGGGCCTGTTGCTCCGGATCACGATACGTTCGGAATATGAGCGCGTCTGCGTGACCTTTGGATTTGGCGAGATCGAAGTATATTGGACCAAGCGCACCATGTATTTTGCCAAACTCTTGTCTCGCAAACCCACGCACCGACCTCACGCGGTTGAAGACTTGCAGCGCAGCTTGAGTATCCAGCTGATCCTGGATTGGCGAAGACGGCGACCCAGACACGGTAAGCTCGTCGAAGCCATCTGCCAGCGTGCCCTTCCGTCTCGGAGGCGGTTTCTGGCGCGTGTCGAGCGACTTTCGCACTTTCTCCTCTTCAACGCCTGCGTCGAAAAGCGTCACACTGCCAGCATGCGGCCTGACGGCAGTGGTTCCATTGATGCCTTGCTGATTTGAAGCCTGCTTCGCGAGTTGTGCTTCGGTCTTCCTCTTCATGGCCTCCTCCACTCGCTGTCTGGCCTCAGCTTCATTCCAGGCACCCATAGATTTCAACTTTTGTATCCATCTTGTGTCGTCGTATACCATTTCCTGCAGCCTATGCGACACACGAGCGAACCGAAGCAAGTCGTCTACGGGCAAATAATCTAGTACCGTCGCTATGAGCTCGGCCGGCAAGAATGGCTTGGACGTGACCATCGACGTCGCCCGCAGCGAAGCAAAGACATTCTCGTTGCTGCGTGCAGGCCCGCCATTGATCTGCACCTTCTTGAGGTGCTCGAGATGTGAGGCATTTCGGATGTGTTTTGGATGCGCCGGCGTGGAACGACCGCTCATATTGGCGTCTATAGTCAGCTGAAGCCAGCGCTAGAAATGATGCTTTCCATGCTGGTTGGTGTTGTCGAGGTGCGCAGTCGCGGCGCGGTACGGAGGTACAATTTGTGTTGACGTCCCAAAGCTGAACAGCGGAACAAGCTCCCGGCATGTACAGTACGTGAATGCGCATTGCTTGCATGCTGCCGGGGATGCTCGATCTGACACTAAGGCCCTGTCTACTTGCTACCGTTTATCGCATAATCGTTTCGATTATGCGTATGCTATAATCGTCTCTTATAGAAGCCGCTTTATAATCGTTTATTATTAGACGGCAACGTGTTCAAATTGGACCTCCGCGGCAGCTGCCGCTATAACCTTCCTTCTCTTTCTACCTTAGGCCTATATATTAAAGCTTAAAGCGTATATAGCTACAGTAGTAGATACAATAGTCGCTATAGGGCTCGAAGCGGTATAGGAAGCGGTATAGGATCGTAGAGCGGTATAGAAGGAAATCGAGTACTCGTTCGAAGGGCGGTTTCGTAAGTAAAACCTAGCAATTTAAATTAGTTAGTCTCTTATATTACCGCTATTCGAATCCTCGCAACTATAGTGTCTTAATCTACTAATTCTACTAATTCGTAGCTAAAGACGCTAGCGGCTCGTAAGCGTAGTACGATAGCGACACTATTACTAGTTGCCTCTAATAAAAATAAGTAGACGCGGACGGTAGAGCGCTAGTCGACTAAATAGACTAAATTCTTCCTCGAGCAGCTAATAGAATTAATAAAGGTTAGCCGGTAGGCGGAGTCTAATAACTTTAAGATCGGTAACCTTCGTAACCTCGCGGAGGTAATAAATAAGAAGTATAGTACTAAGCGGACCGATAATAACCTAAAAAATAAGTAGATAGCTATTAAGCGAGATTAGGGTATATAGGTTGCTTACTTAAAGCATATTAGTAGCTAGAATAGTATGCTACTAACTACTAAGTCGGACGTTAAAGATACCTATTTCGAGGAGTATACGAAGTGTACTCTATTCCGTAACGAATTGCCTAAATACTATAAGTTAATAGAGGAGTTAATCGGTTAAGATATAGCGGTTAGCGACTACGTAGGCTCTATAGAAGCACTAGCGGATAGTAGCGTAAATAAGTTAGATAGTAAGGAAGAGGAAGAAGATATAGTAGAAGGTATAGAAGCTACCGCCTCGAAGCTGTTTACTAAGGAACAGTTAATAGTACTACGTATAGCTAAGGTATAAGAGAAACATACTAAGAAGATATAGAAGGAGGCTAATCGTATCTATAAGAAGCAAGACGAGGCTTCTAAAGGCAATACCCTTATCGCGAAGTCTATCTAGAAGGCCTTCGAGCTATTAGTATTAATAGTAGCGGAGAGTGTAAAGGATACTAAGGAAGAACGTACCCTCGCGAGGAAATAGGCCGACTAAGCCGCTACTATTGCTAAAGAAGCCGCCGCTATTGCTAAAGCCGGTTCTACTATTAAGATCGTAACGGCGCGTCTTCTAGACCCTAATATATAGGTAGGAAAGGATTTGTCGATAGCGTATAGGATATTATTAGTAAGGGAGTATACGAAGAAGGATACTAATTATAACTACGTAGAGGTTACGTTAAGCCTAAACGACGAGCAATTCGAGGAGTACTTCTACGCGGTACTAATAGACCTACGTACTAATAATCGTTAGAATAGGTACCTATAGCAGATAGATAGATATATACAGTATAGCTATTAGCAATAGGTCGGTGTTATAGTATAGGTTAGAAAGTAGGGATTGTATTAAAAAGTGTATAGCAAATATAGGCCTATTTAATACTAGAGTTCGGATAGTTAGGAATATTTTTCGTTGCAAATGCACGCTAGTATCTATACTATTAATTTGTGTAAAGGTGTTATTAGTTTTTACTAGCAAAAAGTAATTACGTACGAGGCCTATTATATACGTCGAAAGGATATCCTAACGACTCGAACTTTAACTTTACTTCGAAACGCTAAGAACCGACGGTTTCAACCTACGAGAATTTCGATAGGAGGACGAGGCGGGCTCCGAGAGATAGTAATAGTATTAGAATATATCTATAAAAACACAAAATCGACTTCCTTACTAAATCCCTTACTAAAAGTATTATCCGCTATTCGCCTATATATTTACCTATTACCTACCCTTCTCTGCTATATACGGCGCTACACTCCGACTAGCACTTCTTACTTCTACGCCCTTATATCGAGCCCTCTAGCCGTTTGCTACCCTATATACTTAGCAAACATCTACCGCGCTATCCGATTACGATAATCCGTATAAGTCTCGTCGTTATTATCGCTAGCATGCCTCCTATTGTCTACGTAGACTTTAGCTATATAGTCCGCCTCTCTCGCGGCTTCTAATTTAGCATTAGTTAGTACTAGTTGTAGCTCCTTAGATAGAGGTTAACGGCCGTCCGATAAAATAAAGTTATAGATAATAGTATAGGCGATAATAAAGCGGTTCTACTATAGTATAGACTACGTACTTAGACCTTTCTTAATAATCTTAAACCGGCGATTTATTACACTAAACACCCTCTCGATATAGTTATAGAGCTAAGTATACCGTAGGTTAAATAACTCCTTATAATCTATAGGCCTAGCTTCTACGTTACCTTGTTCTCGGAGGTAGTAACGAGTCTTCTAATATAGTACTAGAAGGCGAGGATCTTTAAAGGAATAACTACCGTCGGCAAGATAGAAGTATCTATCTAGTACGTCGAAGCCTAAGTTGTAGGCCTTCCTTAATATAGTACTATCTGTCGCTAACCCCTCGTAACTAGGTATAATAAATAGGAAGCGTAGTATCGAGTTATACGTAGCTATTACATTCGTAGCAATAAAGCCCTTCCGACAACAGTATAGATTTTAGTTAATCTTCTTCGGATTAGCAATTAATAACGTACTATCGATCGTACTAAGAACACCCTAGAAATATAGCTAGAATTTGCTACTATCTTTACCTTCGGACTAGGCTAGTTTCTAGCGCTTGTCTAGCAACTAGATCTACCGCTTTGCAATACGGCAAAGACTCTTCGATACCTTTAGAATTATACGACTAGGTATACCCTTCGCTACGCTAAACTCGCTAGCTAATTCTAAGTAGGTATTATTATACGCTATATAGACGAGAAACATAATAACTCGTGCTTCTACTAAATACCGCTTATTCTTTAAACTACCGTGTTCCTTTAGCTTATTAACTAACGCCTTTAATACTAGTTGCTATAGGCGCGTCCGCTCGAGGTAATAGCGCGCTAGACTATATAATATCTTAAACACCTCCTTCTTAAATCTTCTACGCTCTATCTAAGTCGATATACGCCCTATCGGTCGATAAACGTTGCGCCTTCGAAATCGCGGTAGTTCTTCGAGAAAGAATAGCGGCACTACCGAGAGCGCGCTTACTATCGTAACTACTATTAATAACTAATCTATCGTCGCTCTACCCTCCGCGTACGCTAAATATACCTCGTATATCGCTATACTATCGAATTCTATACTATAAAGAGGTAGATATAGCGGTAGCTAGCCGGAAGTCTACTTAGCGTATAGATAGGTATAAAAAGTCCTCTAGAGCCGCTTACGCCGATCTTACTATATATAGTATAATTATAGCGAGGTGCCGAGCATAGCGAAGAAGCGATAATGTTATAAACGATTACAATAAGACGGCAACGATTAAAGGCGGCTCTATAATCGTTGTTGCAATCTACAGTGGATAATCGCTATAAACGGTGGCAAGTAGACAGGGCCTAACATCCATCTTGCTCCCAGATCTCGCCGCGCATCTCGATATCCTTCGGTGCAAACGCACGCCTGCAGTATCACCGCCTGGGTACCGACTTTCGGCATCACTGCGACCGTATGCATCGACCTATCGCGCTCTGACCGACCCAAACCGTGCTGCCCGAAAGTTGGTATGGTGCAAGGACTCCCCGGTCGCCAATGGCTCGCATCGTAGGCTATCACGAGGCCTAGCCGCATCATCGGACGAAACCAAGGCACTTTAAGACATACATGTATCATCGCACGCCTCATCTGGCCGGCGCCGGAAGGTGAGTCCCTCCAGCCATTCCCTTCGTGCGACTCTGTATGTTATTTCTCATACACACGCGCTGTCGCTACCCTTTGCACCGCAACATCTCGGAGCCGCCTCGGACGTCATTACGCTTCTTGGATTGAGGCATCGCGAGAATAACCGTTGCGATGTGTTTTGGTCTCGGCGATGAATACCGTCCTCCAGTACCAAGATACCGGAAGACGACAAGATACCCCAGACGGTACTCGCCGTCTCCTCCCCCGGTGAGACGGATTGAACGAACATACATACGACGAGCTCCGAGTCCGTTGCCCCCGCCACCTCCAGCAGCATCAATTCCACCTCCGCCTCCTTCAGTCTGGCCACCATCGAAGGCACCCAGTGCAGCTCCGCCGCCGACGGCTCCACCAAGTAAGCCGCCGAGCGCTGCGCCGAGCAAGCCTCCAACGGTATGCACTTCTGCTCGCAATTCCCTTTGCATTGATGCGATTGAGCGATACACCTATTGCTTCTCAACATGAGATCGCATTCTCTTCAAGCTTTCATAGCATTCTCACTACTACCTAGATTGCCAATCCTTAGGCATGTTGCGACCGGTGCTAATTCCTTCTACCCAGGCCGCTCCTGATCCACCTCCCGAGCCCTCGGCTCCAGGCTCGAAAGCACCCTCAAAAGCGCCTACTGCTCCTCCATCCAAAGCCCCAACCGCTGCACCGTCTAAGGCGCCGTCGAAAGCTCCAAGCGCAGCTCCCGATCCACCACCGTCTAAAGCGCCTTCTAAAGCTCCGACTGCCGCTCCATCCAAGGCACCTTCAGCAGCTGGCTCGAAAGCGCCTACCGAGAAGCCTCCTTCCAAAGCACCGTCAGCAGCTGGCTCGAAGGCTTTGACCAAGGCAAACTATATCGAAGTGAATGAAGAGGAGCCTGCTAGTGGTGGATCAAGTTCAAGTGATGCCAGGTCTCAGTCAACTCGGCGTACGTCTGTCTCATCAAGGAGGACAAGCGCACCTCCCGCATCTGAGTACTCAATGCATGAGAAGGAACGTGAGATAAGGCGCTACTCCAAGCCTCCACCCAGGAGTGACTGGGAAACCTTCCGATATGTCGACGCACCTGCACCGCCGCCTGTGAGAGAGTTCAGCAGGGCCAGGAGCGTGGGCAGGCGCCGGGATGACTATGGTCCACGAGACAGCTGGGAACGAGATATCAAAATCTCAATCAATCGACGATGAATGAATATCATCACCATTCAGAATGTGACAAGGAGCTGGGATGATGTCCTTGCTCCATGATGGGCGGAATTTGCATTGCATTTTGACATTCTGTTGCCGTTTCTTTTGCATAAGACAGGCATTGAGTGCTATTAGGCATCCCTGGCACTTACAAGCGAGGAGTTATAGCGAGATCTATGACCAAGGTAGATGACTGCACGGCCTTAATCGTGTATATTCTTTATCATTTCCACACTCTCGTGACGGCTGCAGTCCGCCCTGCAATATGTAGCAAATCTCGAAGGCGCGAGTCAGGACTCAAGATGGCTTTGGACGCTCGACCATTGAGCCACATGTCAGATTGGGATCTTCCCTACACTCTCGAGCTGCGTGGAATGACTGTTTTATATTCGAGGGAGACGTGATTGTTGACGAGCACATCGATCACGTGCCGAGACCGCAGACCCACTGTGTCCGAGTCAAATTCAATTCAATGCAGTGAATAAACTTTGATGGAGATGTTACGTTTCGACTCGGGACCTTTCTCTTTCCTCGTCTCGTCTTGGGCGAATTCCGCGCGTTCGCATCGTACGGCCTCATTGCCTAACCACATTGGCCCTCACCGATATGCGACAATAAGGTCATCTACGGTCCGCGGAAGCATGACCCGTGATCATGTCCATCCGTGTCTTCCTGAGGGACCAGCCTCAGCGCGCCATAGCCTTGGCCACGGACACCCATGTCCTCATATTCAAACATAGCCCGACGACCACAGCCGCTGGAATATCTGGCTCAAGCACTTCTCTAGGCGAAGGAGGAACCCCGAGATGCATCGTGGAGTTCTCGCCGTGGGAGGGCCAGGACATGACGGGCTACCGGACGCTGTCTTCCATGTCAATACAAGGCACTTTGGGAATGGTCACCATCAACGGCGATGTGTTTCTCTGCGTGGTGAATGGAAGTACACGGGTGGCGACAGTCAGACCTGGTGAGGCCATCCAGAAGATCTTGAGTGTCGAATTCCACTGTCTCAACAGGAGCGATTACGATCACCTGTTGCATGATCAAGTCAATCCTTTCCCGACCGATTCTCTCGATGCTGATGGCTTCGATCATGGAGTTCACAAGGAGCCATTGCTCGAGCATCCATGCATGGCTTTGAAGAAGCTACTTTCTGGCGGCAGCTTCTACTACTCAGCAGACTTTGACCTGACCAAGCGAGTACAAGATCGACCTGCGGAAACAAGTACTGTTGCGATTGACAGTCTTGATGCTGGCTTTCTTTGGAACACCTATATGATTCAGCCGCTAGTTGACTTTCGTTCGCGGCTGAGTCAGAAAGAGAAAGAGGCACTCGATCACTCCCGAATATTGACGAGTGCGATCAGAGGTTTTGCAGGGACCGTGACGGTACCCGCTTCAAGCTCACCGGCTAGGTGGAATAATGCTGGGCTACCATCGCAGATGACGCTCATTTCTCGACAATCCTGTCGCAGGGCAGGCACGAGGTTCAACGCTCGCGGAATTGACGACGACGGCAACGTCGCGAACTTCTGTGAGACGGAGACGGTTTTTACAACCGACGAGCTTTGCTTCTCTTATGTGCAAATTCGAGGTAGCGTGCCTTTATTTTGGGAACAAGCCTCAGGACTTCCAGGCCAGCAGAAGATTCAGATCACGAGATCTGTAGAAGCGACTCAACATGCGTTTGACAAGCATATGCAGCGACTTTCGGAGACTTATGGAGATATTGTGGTCGTCAATTTGCTGAGCGAGGAGAAATCGCAAGAGATGCAATTAACCAGACAGTACTTGCACCATATCGCTCATAGCACGCTCAACCATCCAGTCGACAAAGCAGCAGAATCTGAACATCGGCATCTTACAGCAATAAACTACGACTTCCATGCAGAGACAAGAGGGCCGAATGGGTATGAAGCAGCGAAGGGTATCAGGCGCTGGATCGAAAGATCCGCAGTTGCCTTCGAGTATCATCTCAGTGAGGAGCACCAAGAAATCGTAAACAAGGATGGCAAGCAGCATGTCGTGGCTGGACAAAACGAGATCCTGAAACAGGCAGGTGTCTTCAGGACCAACTGCCTTGACTGCTTGGACCGCACCAACCTGGTGCAAACTATTATTTCCGAAATCGCATTCGAGATATTCCTTGCTTCCCGTGGCGAGAACAAGCCAACTTCTGATTTCTGGGCCCGGCATGGTATGCTGTGGGCTGACAATGGCGATGCACTATCCAAGATTTATGCCGGCACAGGTGCACTGAAGTCTTCGTTTACCAGATCGGGGAAGATGTCACTGGCCGGCACCTTAGCAGACATTAGAAAAAGTGCGCAAAGGTTTTACATCAATAATGTCGAAGACAAGGGCAGACAGAACACCATGGATATGCTTCTTGGTCGCTTGGTCGGCCAAACACCTGTGCACCTGTACGATCCGATCAATGACTGGGTTCAGACTGAGCTAGCGAAACGTTCGAACGATTTCACTACTTCTGCGAAGATCAGCATTTGGGTGGGAACTTTCAACCTGAACGGCAAGACGCATGGTATTGATGAAGACCTGACACCTTGGTTGTGTCCCATCGTAGAGAACGAGTACAGGGTGCCAGATATTGCAGCCGTTGCATTCCAGGAGATCGTAGATCTGGATGTTGGCCAAATCATGTCGACCGATCCACATCGCCGGAGTGTCTGGGAAGATGCCGTCAAGGCCACTTTGAACGCAAATGCCCAAAGACACGGTCACGAGGATTACGTCCTGTTGAGAGGTGGCCAGCTTGTGGGAGCGTCACTTTCCATCTTCGTGAAAGCTAGCGTCCTACCAATGATTCGGAACGTCGAGGGCGCCGTCAAGAAGACAGGCCTGAGTGGCATGGCTGGAAACAAAGGCGCTGTTGCCATTCGAATGGAGTGTGCTGATACCGCCATCTGCTTCGTAACAGCACATTTGGCGGCTGGGTTTGCCAATTATGACGAGCGCAACCAGGACTATCGCACCATCTCTTCGGGCCTACGCTTCCAGCGCAACAGATCCATAGACGACCACAAGACTGTCATCTGGTTCGGTGACTTCAATTACCGCATTGGCTTGGAAAATGAGCGATGCAGGGCGTTGATCAAGAAAGGCGATCTTGGGACACTGTACGAGAACGACCAGTTGAACCTCCAGATGGTACACGGCAGAACGTTCCCGCACTACTCGGAGCAAACACCGACATTCTTACCCACGTACAAATTCAATATCGGAACAGATGACTACGATACATCGGATAAAAGCAGAATTCCTGCATGGTGCGACCGGATACTTACCAAAGGTGACAACATCCGACAACTCCATTATGATTCTGCTCCTCTACGCTTTTCTGACCACAAGCCTGTGTGGGGGCTGTTCTCTTGCACGATTAGTGTTGTAAACCAAGCAAAGAAAGATCAAATCAATTCGGATCTATACACAAAGCGAAGAACTGTGGTTGGCTCACACACCGCCAGCCAAATGGCCGAGAGTGACGACGAGTCCATATATGGGTACGACTCTGTCGAAAACGGCTTGCCGCCGGCCAGCTCCGAGAAGAGGAAGTGGTGGCTCGACAATGGTATGCCAGCAAGAGCAACAGTAACACCTCCAAGTACAGGCCATGTCCTCAATCCCGCGAGGCCATCAAATCCTTGGACACCTACAAACGAGCCGGATTGGGTGAAGGTCGAAAAGCCGGCAATTCCTCCATCACGACCAACTTCGCTATACGGACAGGCGAGAAATGGAGCCTCCACCCCATCTCGAAGGGAGAGTGTGCCTAGGAGGCTGCCCCCGCCTTTGAAACCTGGTGAAGATGCTACGAGGTCTTCGGAGCCACCTAACGTGGAGGGTGCAGCAGACTATGAGAGCTTGCATAGAATGCAGCTCAAGCAGACGTTGCGAAAACCAGCACCACCGAAGCCCAACAAGCCGAGCTTGCTGCGCTCTGAGAGCCAAGCCTCGAATGTCTCTGCATCTGCGAAAACAGTTGCTCCTCCTCCACCACAAGCACGAGGATCTGTCAACAGCCCGGCTCCAACAGGTTCTTCTATGGTCCCACCTCCACCACCCGAGGCCAGGAGGTCTACCTACACACCACCGAGTAATGCTAGACAAGTGCTACCTCCTCCACCGTCGAGAAGTAACGGCGTCGCAGACGTCAAGTCGAAGCTGCTTAGCGATATTCAAGCCAGATCAAGCAGCCCTGCGCCACAGCCACCACCACCTAGAAAAGTAGTACGGACCGGCACAAATTTGTCGACAGCATCGACGGAGAGCAATGGCCCAAAGCTGCCGCCAAGAAAGCCTGCCGTACCTCTTATGGACGATGATGGTGTAGCTAGTGAAGGGCTTAAGGATTGGGTACCACTGCAGCCGAACTGACATAACGTAAGGTATGAGATACGAGAAAATGAAAGACAGTGTCTATGACCATTCCAGAAATCTCACGATGATCCGTGTTTGAAGAGAAATGGGAGGCCAGCGTGAGGAGGATCATCTATTCCGTTGAGAGACATGTGATAGCTGAGATGACAATTGAAGTAGACAAGCAGACAAGTGATGATAAGTCTTCATACAATCAGGATAGCGAACATGTCCTCGATAGGACGGTACTCTCTTCTTCAACACATTCGTATTATGAGACCATTATTGTTTTATGGGACGCCGAACGAACGCCACAGAAAGCCAGAATGTGGATGGTCTTACCTCCATGGCTACTGCCAACCCCCCCGGAATGAGTCTCCATCGCAACGCCGTGGCTGCCACTTAAAAGCCCTACGGTGAATGAATCTCACCCTTTGCTTCGGTCCCGCCAAGCGGCGTCACTGCTGACCTCGGTGTTGCGCTATCTCTCGGCCTCGACTGTCTCAGCGTTCGTCATCCGCAATGTATTGTTTGCACGGGCTAGCATGAAGCTGAGCCTTTGCGATGGAGGAGGGTTAGTCCTCGACAGTGGTCTTCAGCAGGCTTCGCTGCACGCTCGACAGAACGATTGTTTTGCTTTGATCCAACATTGATATACGATCGTAATAACTACGGCGGCTGCTTCCATTGAACCGCGGGGATAGTTCTACTGGGCTTCGGACTGCAGATGCGCCCGGCTCGCAATCCTTACAGTACCTGTGTATGATGGAGCCTCCGATCTTTATCAGAACCGAGAATGTTGGCGGACAATTGTCACGTCGAACCAGTGCCGTGCTACGGGGATGGCTTGCGGGCCTTTCGTTGCTGTGACAAAGGCTACAGCTATAACATCAGAGTAGCTTCCTCTGGAGACCGGCTCGCAGCTCCCACATTCCAGTGCTTCATCACCTCTATTCCCCGTTCAACATGGCCTACTTGCATCGTTTCTTGTCTATACTGCTACTATTGGTCATTTCTGTGACGGCGCTGACACCTGCTCAATGGCGCAAGCAGAGCATATACCAAGTCCTGACAGATCGTTTCGCGAAGTCCGATGGATCGACGACGGCTTGCGAGGATCTCAATGATTATTGCAATGGCACATGGACCGGTCTCATCAACCGCTTGGATTATATCCAGGAAATGGGATTTACGGCAGTAAGAGGACAGATGACACTCCCAATTCAAGACACCTGCTCACATCGCTCGATTACAGATTTGGATCTCACCAGTAGTCAAGAACCCCATTGCCCTTACTCGCGACGGAAACTCCTATCACGGCTACTGGGCTCAGGATGTATATGATGTCAACTCAAGGTTTGGCACCGTTGGAGACCTGCGAGCACTTTCCGATGAGCTTCATCGCCGTGGCATGTACATTATGGTCGACGTCGTGCCTAACCACATGGGCTCCATCTCTTCCCGAGCGACAGTGGACTATAGCCTTCTCAATCCTTTCAATAAGCGGAGCTACTTCCACCCCCCTTGCTCGATCGACTACAACAACGACACATCGATCAAGCAATGCTGGCTTGGAAGCGATATCGCCTCCCTTCCCGACCTGCGTACAGAAGACCCCACCGTTGCTGGCATGTGGAACCGCTGGATCTCTCAACTCGTCTCCAACTACTCTATCGACGGCCTGCGAATCGATACAGCGTATCAAGTCAACCAAGATTTCTGGTCCGGCTTCCAAAGCGCAGCAGGAGACATCCATGTCCTCGGCGAAGTCTGGAACGGCGATCCAAGTATCATGTGCCCGTATCAAAACTACCTAACCGGCCTAATGAACTACGGGACATACTACTGGATCACGCAAGCCTTCAGCTCAACATCCGGCTCCATCGCAAACCTCGTCAACGGTATCAACACCATGAAAAGCACCTCCAGCGGCGGCTGTAAAGACGTAACCCTCCTCGGCTCCTTCATCGAAAACCACGACAACCCTCGTTTCCCAAGCATGACAAACGACACAACCCTCATCCGCACAGCCATAACTTTCTCCCTCCTACAGGACGGCATCCCCATCATCTACCAAGGCCAAGAACAAAAATTCTCCGGCGCAGACATCCCTCAAAACCGCGAAGCTCTCTGGTCTTCGAATTACAACCAAACCGCAGATTTGTACCTCCACATCCAACGCCTCAACGCCATCCGCTCTTGGGCCATTTCCCAAGATCCTAGCTACTTGACCTCCAACGCTTCCCCGATCCAATCTACCACTCGCGATATCGTCATGCGAAAAGGTTCTGCTGGGAGACAGGTTGTGTTTTTATGCAGTAATCGGGGCAGTAGTGCGGGGACTGTGACCATGACGCTTGGGGCTGCGAATTCTGGGTTTACGGCTGGGCAGAGTGTTATGGAAGTTCTGAGGTGCTCGAGGTTGACGGCTGATAGTCGGGGGAATGTTGGGGTGAGGGTTTTGAGGGGTCTGCCTAGTGTTTTGTATCCTAGGGATGCGTTGGTGGGGAGTGGGATTTGTGGGTTGTGATGGGGGATAGTGAGGTTGATGTATCTTATGTGTACATGTACATAGCGAGTGTACAGAGATTTGTGGGAATTTTTATGATGGAAACCCTATCGAAACGTTCGCCCCCCCAAAACTTCTGATCACTTACATGTCGACGATGGGAGGAAGTCGTCGATTAGAAAAAAAAAACAAAAACTAAGGTGAGATTGTATACTGAAAGATATTCGAGCAATCAGCTGTATAGGTAGTAGCTTAGATTTCGGGTTTAATCCCGATCGAAGAAGCGCGCGCAAGTTTCTTCTGCCTACAGTGAACCAAGAAAGTGGACTAAGGTACGCGCGATCAATGTTGAGGCCGAAGCGACCAAAACCTGAAGAGGAAAATCAACTCTTGAGCTTTGGTGAAAATCTCGCTGCTGAACTTCAATGCGGATGTCCTAGGAGAGTTCTGTCATGTCCTGCGTGGCTTCGTACAACCACGGAGGTAAGGAAGAAGTCGTACCATCTGATACCGCTGGCTGGGGAGGATTGGAACGCACATGGACCGTATACGATATGGCGATCTTCGTGCTCTTGCATGAAAGTACTCTTTCTCATCCTAAGTCTTACCGAAGCTATTCTCCTTCCTGGCCGCTCAGCTCAGATTTTCATGTTGTCGAAAGACAGATACATGCGTGTACGTGCCTACCTTGCTAGAATTTGGGTTCCATGCAAAGGCTTTTATTTTTTGTGGAATAGTAGTAGTGTCATCGCGAGTTGTTGACCTTGATAGCGAAATGCCAAATTGGTCTCAGGCCTCTTCTATTCTAGCTTGCAAAAGGGCCTGGACGCTCCGAGGCGGGGATTCGAGCACTACTAACCTATATAGAACTCTATATAACAACACTACTATACTACGTTTCTATACGCGTTTTTCGCGTAGAATGCATTATAATACTATTGCCGAGACTTAGTCTAATAGTAGAGATAGTATTACTATAGAATATAACGATTTGCCTAGTAGTCTATCTATAGACTCTTCCTAAATTCCTAACCCGCTATTACGGTTACTCGCGACAGATCGTTAGGTGACTTCTTATTACGTACAAGCCGAGGCTTCTTTAGAGAGGCTAATATAAGCGGGAGGCAGAGATAGAATAATTAGTACAAAGGTAATTCCAATTAGTAAGTAGGTAATATAAGTTAAACGCCTCGAGCTATAAGGGCATTCCGGCGTTCCTAAATATAAAGGAGACATTTTGTCTATAGTCGCGAGCGACGTAAGCGACGCTATCGCTCTCGACCGCTCCTATCGCTCTTAGTAAGATAGAGCGATAGCTTAGCCTACTAGTCTTAGCGTCGCTCTAAGATTATATAAGGACTCTAACTAATCAGATCCGTAATACTATCCCCCTCCTTAAGCGGGATAGTCCCTTATTCCGGAACTTTCTAATTCTAACTTCTTTGCTATACTAAAGTTATTAAAGGACTTGTCTTCTCGTTAGCGTAAGGAAAATATCGCAAATAACATCCTTACCGACTGCCTCGAAATGCCGATCCGCTACTTTTATTACGAATAGGCCGATAAATCCTACAAAGTCGATCTCCGTTCCGGCCGCTGCTCCGAGTACGCCCTATACGGCTAGTCCTATAATATACAAGTTACTCGTATAGAGTATAAAAAAATCCGGAAGGCGCGCCTAAAGATAGCTAAAGATCTTAAAGCGGCCGAAGAGGAGGAAGACCTCCTTACGCGGAAGCTTTTCGAGCATCGCGTAAAGGTCCGTCGCTTACGTAAGTCGCTACGTATAAAGGAAGATCGGGAGGTATAAGCTCTTAAGGTAGAGGAAGCCTCTATTTAATAGGCGGAGGAGCTCGAAAGAGAGCTAGGCTCTTCGCCTATAGAGCCGATAATATTCTCGTTGCCTGCTAACGAGCCGTTTCCTCTAGATAGCCGATTATAGATGTCGCCTTATAACTAGAGTCGTCTAGATAGGACGTCCTAGCCTACCTCTAAAATTCCTAGTAGGAGTGCCGAGAGTCTAGTGTCCTAAAGGTATATATTTTCAATATTTCCTATCTATTTTATCTTCTAGCTAGTTAGTCTAGTAGTATAATTCTTAGCTATAAAAGACATAGTTGCTAGGTATACTATTAGAGTCCCCGCTCCTCGAGCTATACTACCCTAGGTCGTTAAGAACTCTAAGGCGCTATAATCGATAGGGTTTAAGAGGTCGTAGGTTCAATTCCTATACTAGTTATTTCTTTTTTGTTCGGTTTTGAAATTTTTTAATTATCTGCTAATAGTTCTGCAGGTTTTCTTTTAGTTCCTAGGTGTTTTCTAAATATAGGTATCCTTTCTATTTGATAAGGTATTTCTAACCTTACTAATCTAGGATCTTTTCGACTTTAAACTCGTTTTCTTCCTTAGGTTGGAAGTGAAATGTTTCTTAACACGGTGTTTCGGCGTCTACAGGTTCTAGTATAGAGATATAGAATACTAGGTGGATTTTTGCGTCGTCCGGTAGTTTGAGTCGGTAATTAACTAGTCCTTTAGGCTTATTAATCAAAAATGGCCCGACTTTAACGTAGTCTAGTTTCTTAGTCGATCTCCGGGTTTTTAGATTCTTTGTTAGGAGGTAGACCTTATCCCCCTTTTTTAGCTAAGATGCCATTTTTCGTTTAGTATTATATAGCCCCGTAATCTTTTCTTGAGACTCGGCAATTGCCCTTTATAATTCCTTATATACCTGCTTTAAGTCCTCTAAAGCGACTATCGCTTTATCCGCGTATAGATGCTATAAATACTATTCCCTAAATAGCTGCGGATGTTTCCTAAAATTAGCGAAGAATAGTGTCTCTTTCGTAGTCTTAGATTGTTGGTTGTTTAGTGCAAGTTGTGCTATAGGCAATAGCGATGCCTAATTGTTTTGTACGTAGTTAACGTAGTGCCGTAAGTATACTTCTAAGGCCTAATTCTTAACTTCCGTTTAGCCGTCTGTCTGTAGATAGTATACCGTTAATAGCTTGTGCTTAATTCTAAGTGTCGCTATAAGCGTCTTCTAGTAGTTTGATATAAAGAGCTTATCTCTATCCGTAATATAGGTCTTTGGAAATCCGTAGTATCGTACAAGTCTATCTAGTACGAGGTATCCGAGTTGCTCTACCGTACTTGCTTCGTTAGTAGGAATAAAGTGTGCGTATTTCGTAAGCCTATCGACTATAATAAGTATTATGTCGTAGCTATGTCCTGTAACCGGATCCTTAGACTTCGGTAGTTTCGTAATAAAGTCTATTATAACCTCGTCCTATAGTTTATCTAGTAGCGTCCTAAATTAGATATGTCTATATCTAGCGTGTCTATTAGCCTTATTACGCTAACATTGTAGACATTTCTTAATATATTCTAGAACTCGTTGTCGCATGTATAGGAATCCGAAGCTTCGCTTAATTAGTTCTATTGTTTTTGAAACTCTAGGGTATCTATTTTCTAGTCCGTCGTAGTGTTGTCGTATACACTCCGTAACTCGTTCCTTAGGTACTTAGTATTTCCTATATTCGATTGGAAACTGTTCTTCTATATCCTAAAGAACTCGTATAATATAGTTAAATTCTTTTATATTAGCACTAAGGCTTCCGTCTTAGTTTGCTTTTAATATCTGCTGCTATACTAGTTCGTAACCCTCTATATAGTCGCTACGGCGGCTTAGTGCGTCGGCTCGTCCGTTCTCGCGTCCTAGGGTATAGCGGATTTCGAACTTATACTGTCCTAGTAGCTCCGACTAGCGGGCCTATCTTCGGGTTAGTACTTTAGTCGTAGTAAAGTAAGTTAGATTCTTATAATTAGAAAGAATCGTAAGACTTAGTGCTCCTTCCGCGTATACTCGCTAGTATTACAGTAATGTAACTATTGCAAGTAGCTCCTTATTATAGATGTCGTAGTTCTATTCCGCGGGTAATATCTTTCTCGAGTAATAGGCTACCGGGTATCGTTTCCCGTTATACTCCTATATAAGGCATACTCCTATAGCCCTATCCGACGCGTCTGTTTCTATCTAGACTACCTTACTCCTATCGAATAATCGTAGCGTTAGCGCAGAAACGCATTGCTTCTTTAGTTACCTAAACGCTTCGTCTTCCTTCGTACTCTAGTTCTATTGCTTGTCTTTCTTTATAAGCTCCGTAAGGGGTGCCGCTATCTTAAAGTAGCCCTCGATGAATTTTCTGTTATAGTTAGCTAATCCTAGGAATGATTGTACGTCTTTAACGCATATAGGCGTTAGCTATTCCTGTATTAACTTGGTTTTTTCTAGATCGATCCTAATTCCTATAGTGCTAATAATAAATCCTAGGAATTTGACTTCCTTCTTATAGAATTCGCATTTCTTAGGTGCAGTCTTAAATCCTACTTAAGTAAATCGTTTAAAGACGTCCTACACTATTCGTATATAGTCCGCGAGAGCTCCTTTAGTATAGACTAGGATATCGTCTATATATGCGATAACGTATATATCTAGAAGGTCTCGGAGGACTTCGTTTACAAGGTCTTAATATAACGCTAGGGCATTTGTAAGTCCTATAGGCATAACTAAGAATTCGTAAAGCCTATATCTTGTTCGGAATGCTATTATCTATTCGTATCTAGCTGCTATACGTATTATATAAAACGCATCGCGTAGGTCAATCTTCGTATATTAGTCTAATCTAGTTAATCGGTCTTGCATTTCTTCGATGTTCGGTAGTA